ATTGCTTAAATACATATATACTTGTCCACTTATTTGTAATACAGGATTCAGCCCTAATGCCAAGCTCCTTTCCCTGCCACTGCTGAGATATCAACTTTCTTCACTGTTTAAGAATTAAGGTGCATCAAAACCAAGTGACATAGAACGAGTTAACCAGGCCAGTTTAGGCAACCTTTCATACAAAAGGAAAATGAAATGCCAGAAACAGATTTCAGGCTGCTGCCAGAGGGGCTAAAGAGGTGTGTAAGAGACCATAAAACTCTGATGGCAATTGTGATGATGGGTACACTCAACATTCCCCAGGGTACCACTTCCCGGGCCATGAGCAAGGATGCTCTCCAGTGCAGGGGGTGCCTGTATCATGCACCCGTCCTCAATGGGACACACTTGCTCGCAGCAAGGGTGGGGAGGAATCTGCAGGGAAACTGGCCCTAAGCAGTAAAAGGCTGACAAGACAAACAAGCACAAACCAGCCAAGGTACTGCATGAAAAGTTCAGTAGCAAAACTCATACCAAGAACTCAAAATTAGAGAGAAAGGCTCAGTTGTACGTAGCAACAAGACTCAGGGAAGAGATAAAGAACAACTGCGCTAAAAGGCTTAAACTATCTAAAACTTAATGAGGGCCTGTGATTCACTTGGATATCTGAAACTGAAGCAGGGAATGCCTTCAACTAGGGAGAGTTCACAACAGGACTCAATGGTTAAATTTTGCTTACTTTTTTTTTTTAAAACAGTCTACATTATTGCTACTTGACACTACTCAAAAGGCACAGCATGCTGCAATTTAGGCTGCAGAGTAAGCAGAGAAACAGGCAATGCAGGTCAGAGAGAGAAAATAAGGTTTAAAAACAAATTTAAAAAGAACTTTTTGAGAGGATTTTTTTTTTTTGCCTTGGCCATGGCACACAAACAGTGGGATCTACATGACAGATTGGTTTTTCACTGCTGGCTGTCCCAACTCACCCTCTCCTGCACCAGCTCTGGTGTTTTTGTGACTCTGGGCTGAACTGCTTCTGTGTTAAGTCAGCAGAAAAGTAAGCCAACAAAAAGGGCAATAGGTTTCTGCCAGGATGTCATGCAAAAACAGTTGAGCAAAGGCTGAGAAAGGAGACAGATTCAACTGCTCTGGCAATGCAGGCTCAGTCTGACTAGCTAGTGCATCCACAGTAGCTTTACTGGCACTTTAGACCTCAAAATGAGACTATAATATTATAAATATTTATTTCAGCTAAAATACCATCTTATGTGACATTATCTCATCTTCCCCCATCACAGAAAACTGTTTGCCCAAACACTGTCTTGCAAGGGGGAAGGAAAGAGATTTTTTTTTTTTGTTGCAGTTGTTTTCAGTCAAGACGAACTCTCCAGTTCAGCTTATCACATGGATAAGCTATGAACAGGTGTGCTGGGGAAAGAGAGGGGCTGCACAGTACTGTAAACAAGCAGCAGGAGGAAGGAGGGTGCTTAAACCAGGACAGAAAATTTAAAAAGTCTGTATTTGTAAAACTGTGTTGCAAGTTCAAGCCACGCTATTCTCCTTGGTAGTCTACAAAACTCGCAGGAGATTCTGCTCTTTACTATGGTGAAAGTAAAAAATAAAAGAATAAATTAAAAATAGATATAAATACTAAATAAATAAACCTATAAATATAGAGATTATATATATGATTTATATATCATCATCCCATCTCATGGTGAGATAACACACATACATTAAGATATTTATTCTACTATACAAGAAATTAATTTAATTGCAGACTATACATCTTATGCTCCTGCTTTGGATGCACTTGCATAAGGCTGAGAGCCAGTCTCTCAGCCTGTGCTCCCTAAAACGCCTCTCCCAGCCACACGGTTCTTCCAGCTACCCTATGCTATTTCTAGTGCCTCTTAGGTTCTTTTATGAGCTTGTGCAAGTAACCTACATGGTAGAATGTGAACTCTAATTGTTCATACAAGATTTAATGAGTATCAGATCCAATGTATGAGAACAGTGACCAGGGAAATGTGGAACAGTGAAAATTTTTACTTTTAGGAAGAGTGAGTAACTAAACTTGTTCAGGTAGTTATCCAACTGCAGCATAGCTGGCCTGCATTCTGTCTGTCTGAATTAACTGCACGATCAGCTTTCCCCACGCAGTTTCAATGGCCATAATGGGTTCAGGCAAACTCCACACTAAGCAGGAAAGCAGTGGAGTTTCTTGTTAACTGCTTTGCTGCGCAGAATTCACAAGGCACTGGGCTCTCTGTTTGTATGGATGGGACCTTCAATGTAGGACACTTTGTAGCTGTCATTTTAGACTCCAGTTTTGTAGGGTAGAATAGGACAGTATTTAATAAGCCAGTGAGTCCTACATGTGGTCTCTGCCCACATGCTCTGACTAGTTATCAGAATAAATGTATTTTTTGAAACCATAAAGCTTACAGTAATTATAACCATTAGAACAAACATTTACACTTGTGACTATCTGCAAAGTTTATTTAAGTAGGCCACTCTGTGAACTATTGCTTTTAATAATCTAGCAAGGATCTACAAATCATGTTGAAGTTCCTTCTTCCACAGAAAAAAGGCAGTCTTGTTCTGAAATCAGTTTCACAGGGATTTGTGTTCTGTAGAATAAAATCTGAACAAGAGCCTTTAGCTGGCAATGCACAAAGGTTTTACTCTATCGAAGCTAAGCTGCTTTGTCTCCCAACAGAGAAACTCAGGCCAAAGACAAATAAAAGAGAAAAGAGTGTTAAAGACAAACAGGTGGGTAAGACCAAAAAAAAGCAAGAAATGCAAGGATACATTCTTAGTTCCTGAGGGACACGTTGAATGGAAGGGAATCCAAATCCAAGGTGATATTTCAGGCTCCAAAACCTGTATCAAGACTTAAGACTGTTGCCAACATACTTTCATTCAAGTGATACAAAACAGACTTCCCACTTGAAAAGACAGCTCACTGCAGAAACAAAGTCACTTCACCAGGCTTATGAAAAACGTTAGTTACTCTAAATGCTTCTAGGCCTCATTCCACAGAGCCATGGAACAACAAACATGGCTTAGTGAAATATCAATTTGATTACCATTAAATAAATGTATTCAGAATGCAAAATGTTCTTCTTTGAATGGGTGTTTGATTATATTAGAGCAAAATAAACAGACCCTTTAGTTGTACAACAGTAACGCTGTAAAAAACAACCCTTTCCCTCGACATAATCATGCATTTAAAAAAGGAAATGCAAACACATAACATGTGCCCAGACTACCTTGAAAAGCTCATGTTTCATCACCTTAACAGTAATGATCTATTTTCTTACACAGGTCAGCATTTTCCTAGCTACTCCAACCTCAACAGAAGAAGTGAGAGCAGAATACTGAATCAAACTTTTCCCAAGAACACTCTTTGCTAAAAAAATATTACACGCAACTATGCAACAATCTTTGCAAATTATATTGAATCAGAAGGGTAGAGGTTAGCAAAAACTGACTCTAAGAACTAATTTTGTTAAAAATATCCTAACAAGGATCTAAAAATCATTGTGTGAACTTTGCTATTCCATTTAAAAAAACCCAAGGATTTAAAAAAATTCAAGGCACAGAATGCTTAGGGAGATCAGAAACTTACTTCTACAGAGATAAACAAGTAAAATAGAAAATCAACAAGTACTGTTTAAAAAGAAGAAACTTTCAAGATAATTGAATAATAAAATTTCTACTTGTACACCCATTTTGTTGTTATTCAGAGAATACCAAAGTGACATATTTCTTTGGGATTTTTTCAAAGTCAATATGATCTACTACAGGTTTCAATCCTTTATTTTTACTTTGTTTTATTTAAATTTTTGTTACTTTTTAAGATTTCCTTCTCTATTTTTGTTCAGTAATCAATAACTTCTTATAAGAAACCTTTCTATTCTCAATCTGTAAATATATAGGTTGATTTGTATCATAACAAAAAGTACACACATTCTATAATAATGCAAACAACTCATCTTTTTTATGATTACCAATGAATTTAAATAGAACAGACTTTCTATTTTAAAAAACTTACTTTCAAGTTATTTGGTCCTCTTTATGTCATTTATAGCAATGCAAAGGTATGACATAAGCATATACATAAATGTTTCTCTACTAGTTTAAGTGTGCTAGCATTAGAAACCTCATGTTTCACTTTACTGCACCTCTTCAAGAGCACTGTTCACAGATACTCGAACTCCAGCTTTAGGACTAATGGCAGCCAATCTGGGTGTTCAAGACACAGAAGAGAGTGGTTGTAGCAGTGCAAAGTCATTACAACTGCAAAGCAGCAACACTCCTTTTATTTTATTAATTCTAAGGTTTAAACACACATGACAATTTTTAAAGCTAGTTCATTGTTCAGCCACAAGTTTTTTTTTGCCTGCAACCATAAGTTCTATATGTGTATTGCTGCTTGTCCAGGTTGAATTCCTAATATAAAAAGAATCTGCCCAGCCAAATGCTTTTATGGGAACTTAAGGGCCTCATGACAAGGTTTGACAATGCAGCTGGACCAACCTAATGGCTCACACCCATCAAAATGAGGCAGTATTACTCTTTCTTCAACCACCTTGCCTCTGCTGTTCTCTGCACTGGCTCATGGTCATCTGACTTCTTATTTGGCTGAGTCTGGTGAACTTGCAAAGGAATAATTCAGCAGGAAAAAAGAATGGTTTCTCTTGGTTATCAAGTGAGGTCAAATGGATACTAATACAACGAACAACAGGACAACTCTTTCAATACTATACAGTCATTTGACTGGTTCAGCCACCTTATAGAGTCTTGAACACGGTGATAGGATCACTTGAGACAAAGGGCAGGGTAAGAGAAGAAGTGCTTTTGGCTTTTTACACATTCATTTTAAGATTATTTTACGCTGATATTAATAATAAAGTAGAATTCTTACCTTTCATTGCTAATTTTTCCATTCACTTACATCACTGTTTGCCATTTTACCAACAAATCATAACAAAATAAACCAAATAATTACTTACCTACAAATCCTTTCTCTCCAACTAATTTAAGGGCAATTTTATCTGCCAAAACAGAAGAATTTCCATGTGCAATGTTAGCAAAAGGTCCAGCGTGAACGAATACTGGTGTTCCCTGAATAATAAAAAATATATTAATTAATTCAATGAATAGATGCCATGATTTAATCTCAGCCAGCAACTAAGCCCCACATTACACATTACTCACTTCTCCATCAGTGGGATGAGGGAGTGAATCGGAAGGGTAAAAGCTGAGAAAACTCATGGATTGAGATAAAGACAGTTTAATAGGTAAAGAAAAAGCTGCAAACACAAGCAAAGCAAAACAAGGAATTAATTCACTACTTCCCATGGGCAGGCAGGTCATCCCCAGGAAAGCAGGGCTCCATCACATGTAACGGTTACTTGGGAAGACAAATGCCATCACTCTAAATGTTCCTCCCTTCCTCCTTCTTCCAACAGTTTTATATGCTGAGCATGATACCACATAGCATGGGATATCCTTCTAGTCAGTTGGGGTCAGCTCTCCTGGCTGAGTCCCCTCCCAGCATTTTGTGCACCCCCAGCCTTCTTGCTGGGGTGAGAGGCAGAAAAGGCCTTGACTCTGTGTAAGCCCAGCTCAGCAATAACAAAAACATCCCTGTGTTACCAACACTGTCTCCAGCACAAATCCAGAACACAACCTCATACTGGTTAATGTGAAGAAAATTAAACCTATCCCAGCCCAAACCAGCACATTAGGTAAAAACCTCAATACTTCTGCAGACTAATCAACATGATATCTAAATCAAAGCACAAACAGGACAGAAGCGCTGTTAGACAGTTTAGGGGTTCTAGATACATCTCAGATGCTTCAGACCTCATTCACTGACAGGTCTAGATTTCAGAACCCGCTTCATTCATAGAAAGGTAACAGACAGTAGCTCAACCCATAGGTAACTTACACAACTTCTCCACTCAACCTTGTACTAAAACTTAAGTTTTACTTCTACTTTAATCCAGTATTTATGCTTCTGGCAATCAAATACATAAGACTGCAGTTTTCAGCTACCAGATTCAAATCCATAGGATTTATTCCAATTTATCTTCTATTAGTCACTAAATTTAATTTTAGTCTTCCAAGCCATAATTTCTTGCAGCATGCAATTACGGGGTTGGTCTTGCTAGATCCCAGAATGGGCATATGTGATGCACGGAAGCACAACTACAACCAGTGAGAGGGCAGCTGAGCCCATACTGTGGCAGCTGTGCAAAGAGAGGTGCCAGGAGAGTCTTCCACAACATTCCTTGTGCAACTGTGCTTCCAAGAGTTCATCCACGCAACATGAATAGGGAGGAAATTTAGACTGTAGGATCCATTGGTAGTCAAGAGGCCTCCTGCCACTAACTTAAAATCCAAACACACTGCTAAATCACTGGCATGGACAGATGCTCCTCTGGAGCTCTGAAATCCACCAGAAGAAAAGGAGGACCTATTAGAATGGGTTTTTTACATAAGCAATCCTGGCAGAAAAGTAAAGTCTAGGTACCAAAGAGAGTGAACTCTAGCAGGACCTCGGGAGCCTCAGGCACACGCTGGAACAGAGACAACAATGTCTTCTCAGGCCAGCTTTAGTGACTGTGTCAGTCCATCTGTCCTACTCTGCAGAGTGCCAGTTAGTTTTGCTGTGCTCTTAATAAACTATATTGAGAAACAAACAGATGCATTCTGCTGACTGTTTTCAGTACAGAAAATTTTATTATCCAAGTTTCAGTAAAAGAAAATAAACCCAGAATGTCAATAAATATCTGAAGTTATGTGGCCATTAGAAGGATGTTTATAATACTTATTACCATCCTTCTCTCATCTTTACTGTGAGTGGCACTTCAAACGTAATACAACAAACCATCCCAGAGCAGCCAGCCTGCAACTACAAAGAGTTGTCCCATAGAGCAGCTGCTCTGTTACTCATGGTATAAATAAATGCTAAACATTAAGGGATCAGTTGATGAGAGAACAAATCTGTCATGAGAAACATGGATAAACACTATGAAATCATGATGTACATTCCAAACAAAGTAATCTCAATTCTACAGCACTGGATATAAGTTCTACTAAAGTCTGCAGTTATTGTAGGTGGAGTGTCTCATATCTCTCATTTTGATATTTCACTGTCATTCCTGCATATAAACACTGTCAATCACTAATATTTTCAGGCAGCATTTCTGGTGACAGAGTAGCAGGGTTATGATGGAAAGTAACTCACCAAGAAATTGCTTTAAAAACCAGCAAATTAAAATGCACAGACACAAGTTGCCAGTTCAGTTCCATGCAGGACTGGCATTCGGTTATTTTTGATTTAGGACCTTCTGAACCTCTTCTCCAGTGCATGCAGACATACATATAAAGTTGGTGCAAATCTACTGAGTTGTTCTTTTCCCCTTTCACAGGCCCTTAGAAGCAACTCCTCAGACTTCCACAGCTTAACACAATTCCCTTCTACAGGCTCATGGCCAGATCACAGAGGAGTGCAGCTGTCTCTGCAATGGCTACTTCCAGGCGTTGCTACCCACAGACACTATGACTTACAAATTATGCTAAATCAAGTGTCAGTATCAGCTGGAAGTCACCCAGAAGTTATCTCCTCTGGCAGTTTTTTTGCCATTCCCCAAAACTAAAGTGATCTGAAAGACGTGCTTTGGTGAACAGTTTCACCCTACTTGCAGGACAGGTCCACAGTACATTCTGAGCTGCATTCGTGTTCTCTGTGTTGTCCTTACAGGGGACTTCAACTTGCCAGAAATCAGCTGGGAACATCACACAGCTGGCACAACCTGGGCCAGAAGATTCCTAAAAACCTAGACAACAACTTTATGGAACAGGTCCTAAGGGAGATGACTCAGAAAGATGCCCTCCTTGATCTGCTGTTTGTCAACGGAGTAGATCTTGTCAGAGAAGTGGAGATTGGTGGCTGTCTTGGCCACAGCGACCACAAGTGATCGAGTATAAAATCTCTGGAGGAAAAATACCAGCAAAACCTCAACTCTGGACATGAGGAGAAGCAGACTTCAGGCTGCTCAGTGAATTAGTAAGGAAGGTCCCCTGGGAAAATGTTTTTGCAGGCGCTGGGGCCAATCACTGCTGGTCACTTTTCAAACATCACCTCCAAAGGCAGGGAGGCCCTGCAGAGAGACCTTGAGAAATTAGAGGGCTGGGCAATCACCAACCATATGAAGCTCAACAAGGGAAAATGCTGGATTCTGCACGTGGGACAGGGTAACCCTGGATGTACATACAGACTGGGGAATAAGATGCTGGAAAGCAGTGCCACAGAAAGGGACCTGGGGGTCCTGATCACTGGCAAGTTGAATGGGAGTCAGCAGTGCCTTGGCAGCCAGGAGGGCCAAACATGTCCTGGGGGGCATCAGGCAAAGCATCACCAGTCAGTCGAGGGAGGGGATTGTCCTGCTCTGCTCTGCACTGGTGTGGCCTCAGCTGGAATATTGTGTGCAGGTTTGGGCACCACAGTATAGCAAAGATATTAAGCTATCAGAGAGTGTCTGAAAGAGGGCATAAAGACGGTGAAGGGCCTTGAGGGGAAGCCGTATGAGGAGTGGCTGAGGTCACTTGGTCTGTTCAGTCTGGAGAAGAGGAGACTGCGGGGAGACCTCACTGCAGTTACAACTTCCTTGTGAGAGGAAGAGGAGGGACAGGCACCGATCTCTTCTCTGTGGTGGCCAGTGACAGGATGCGAAGGAATGGCCTAAACTGTGTCAGGAGAGGTGTAGGTTTGATATTCGGAAGGTACTTCACCCTTAGGCTCTAAACGCACAAACGGATCACTACAGAACATTCAAGTGTGCAGCGCACAGTATCCTCCTTATTCCCTTTTTTTTTCGTTTTAACTGAAGCTATTAAAATTAGCACCTCTCAAATCTATTCAGATGAATAACTAAAAATAATAAGAGGTATTTAGTCACAAAATGGAATATGACACAAGCTTGAGGCCCAAGAGCAGCAGTAACAGCACAGGCAGTAACAGAATAGGTCACTGCATCTCTACACAAGAGCAATGACACAGTCCAATAGGACATCAGCCAAAGCACAGCACCATCTTGGAGAACATTTACGTAAGCTGAAGATCTCCATTCCTGGATAGGTGACTCATATTAGCCTGAAAGCCAACAGGTATTCAAAAAGTAACAAAAAATCATCTTTAAGACTCAAATTGAAGGACCGGAGCATGAAGCAATCTTCTGAGCTGCTTTAGTTTGCTGTTTTAAAAATAACTTTATGAGACAATTTTGGGGAAAAATATATCTTTGGGTACTGTGGTCAGGGTCCTGCTAACAAGCAATAGTGTTTGATGAAAGTTGGCAGATGTTTCAGCCATAGCATAGATTAGACTAGAAAAGAATACCACATAAAAGGCAGGAATTATATTGCATAGAAATGTGAATATAAAGAAATGCAGTGAAAAAAGAAATGTATGCAAGTCCCAGAACCAAATGCCTATCAATCAAAAGAAACCCTTCTGACATTTATAATTGTCCTTTAGAACGTTGCAACAAAACCACATTATTTTCTAACAGATATGCAAAGTGCAAGTAGAGTGACACAGACTAAACAGTCAGAATCAAAGCTACATTGTCAGTGACGCTTATCACACACAAGGTTATCCAAGTGGTGACTTAATACACAGTTCTGGCCATGACATTCTTGATCCTACGTGACCTCCAGTTTCTGCTATTGGATGTTATATTGAATTCTGACACACACATACATTCTTCATACAGCCACATGAAAGAACAGATCTTCTTTGCAGGAGAAAATAATTAGATGGTTATAATAACATAGACTTAAATTCTATTTTTCTAAATCTTCCCCAAGAGCAGGAATTTGACCCCATCTAAACACAAAAGCAAAAAGGTAGTTATCACATTGTCATGTTTTAGAAAATGAGACATTTTTGCTAATCAGCAATTGAACTCATGTATTTCTACATTCTTTAACTTTTCACCACACCAGGAATGTTCCAGCTATGTAATTTTTATGGTCAAACTTTCAAAAATACAAACTAATTTTTCTCCAAGTGCATTTTTCAAATCTGCTTTATTATTTCCTCATTTTTCTTTTTCTCCCTCTAAACTTGAATGTTGCTCATCAGTCAACTTCCCATGGAAAAGGCAATACTAGACTGCCCAGACACAAAGTTAGTTGTACTAATTCTGCATTCTTTAAGCTGTTGGAAGACAGCTCACTAGGGTAAGTGTAAACCATTCCTGTCATAGCCCAGCAAAGCTTTGTTTAGTCCCTGAAGGCACTATGGCAATATTAGGTGGCTGGGAGCCATCTTTTGAAAAAACATAAACAGGTAAAAGCACTCTCCTGTGTCTATGAATGGCACAAACTGTGATACAGACTAGAATGGCCGCAGCAAAGCATCTACTTCCCACACAAAATGCTGGGCTGTGGGAATCATCATGGGAACAATCATACAAAAAAAATACATAAGAAGTAAACTTCCCCAGAAGAACAAGGTGGGAAACAGTAGTAAGTCTATGACTCAGAAGACCAGCTTGCCTTCCAGTGGGCTCAGAAGCAGTTCAACAGTGCACTGCAGCTTGCTTGCAACACTAGGTGAAATTATGATTATAGTCAGAGTCTCAAAGAAAGGAAGAAAACCACCACAAAGGTATAAATACAGATAGAGTTGATTAGTTAACATAAACAAATGAACATTTGCTAGAATGCCTTTATGGATCTGACCCAGGTTTGAACCTTGAAAGTTAAGCACAGTCACTGAAGAGAAGCACGATCAGCACAATATGGAACTTGAAAGTCGGAGCAGGGCAGGCATCATAAGCCACTCACCTCTAACGTCTGCATTAGCGTGGGCTTAATTGCATCTTTCATCAAAACTGCCAAAGCACCTGTTACTCCCTAAAAAACAAAAGAGTGAACATTTTAGGGAAGTCAGTTCTAAGGTGCAACATTTTCAAGCTACACTTAAGCTTACAGTTGAAGTTCAAGAGAAAAAGAAAAGTGTGCTCATAAACTATAAAGGATAAGCAGTGTTACAGTGCTGCATAAAGAATTTATTTAGATATTACCTTAAGACTTCTAAGATACGGTATTTACAGAATGTGTCAGAAACAATAATGATTTTGTTCTGAATACACTTAAAAGGTAGCAGGTAATTATTTGTCCTATTTCATGGAGAGACCAGAAACAGTTATTAAGTGACGAGCAGGAGGACACTCAAGGTAACAAAAGATGAAGTGGAAGTAAAGGCCACTGAGAGATGAGAAAGTAAGAAAGCAATAACTTGCTAAAACTGCCTAAAGAAATGACATATGTATGTCTTCCATGACAGAATCAATAGCATGAATCAATAGCTACCAACAACTAGAAAGGATATTTTTCAAGACTTGTACAAATATACACATAACAGACACAGGATGAAAGTAGAGTTTACTAGGGGTAGATAATGAATACATCATAAGATAAAAAGTTAGAGGTGCCTGATGTCATAATAAGAGCACAAAAGGAGCTGAGCGAATTGCTGCATTTTGGTCGCAAGAAATCTTACTCCTCCCTAAAAATTTTGTTGGAAGTATAAATATCACACTGACTGACTTTAAAATCAATAAAAGTCATGACATCCCTCTGTACTAAAATTCAATGCCCATTTAGAAAAAAAAAGGGCTACAGGGTGTGCACATCACTATCAGACTATATGTGGAGTGCTGTCTATAAACCACCAGCATATGTTCAAATTTCTTCCTAAATTACTTTGATTTCGAGATGATGTGTTTTGTTTTGAAAGAACTAGATCATGGTTCAAAGAAACCGCAGTAATGTTATAAAGAGTGGCTCATGGACTTGCCAGAGGAAACAAAAAATGAATTTAATATTTTTTTGTATTGAAAAGAAACATTAAAAGCAAACAAAAATCCTAGTTGCTGTAAATTGTTTAAAATGAAGGTTGAAAAACATGGGTACTTTATCTGAGTAGCCTATTAAGGCATGAACAAAAATATTCAAATAAAGAAGAGTAATGAAAATAGTTCCTATATAATTCTCAACACAGTTTCTATCAACTAATCCAAAATTTGAACAATCAAAGTCTGTGTGAAAATTTTGATGTCAAACAGATAAGAGACATAAAAGTATGTGGTGATTATATAAGTAAAGTATTGCATAAAATTAAATTTTCCACTCTTTGAGCATCACATCTGAGCATGGACTTCAGAGGAAAATGAAGCAGAATATTTGGCCTTGGATATAACTGAATTGAAACCTAAATAGTAGAACTGGTTTCTACTAAGGCATAGTAAGTGTTTCCTTGGAGGACTATAAAGGAGAGAGAAAAGGGGAAGATTTTTCTTCTCTCTCTGCATCTCCCACTATCTACAAAACCCAGTAGATCCACAGAGACATAATATGAGAAATTGGTAGCAAAACAATACAGTTTTTCATCTTTCAAATTAGCAAAAAACTAGATTGCTGTTCCTTAATAAGTTAATTTTAGAAGCTAGGATTGAAACACAAGGAAACATAAGCATGCCCGCTCTGTCATAATGTGTGAGGTTCCATCACTTCTATAGAAGCAGCCTGGTGCTATGCTGTTTATATACCCAAATACTCTTATTTCTAAAAAAAAACCAGTCAAATGGAAAACTTTACATCAGATTTTTCGACTGGTTGACAGCAAGGATAACTACCTGAACAGCCACAGATCACCCCTAAATGATAAATGTTAATTCACGCCAACTGTAGCCACCAGACCACTCAAAGTAAGCATGCAAACATCTATCTGCTGACCTGAGACACTGCGACTGGAAAGAAGACTTAAGGGATGGGGAAGTAAAAAATAAAATCAGGACACTTCTTCCCCAGCCTCCTCTCCTGCCCCTTCTAGATAATAAAGGGTCAAATCCTGCCTCCTTTGCTTTCTGATAGTTCTTCACCAATCTGACAAAAATAATGAAGTAATCCAAATACTTCCTCTGCATTTTAACTTTTTTGGAGATATTAGCTATGCATTATTTGGGAAATACTAGATATGCATTCTGGACACAACAACTTATTCTATCTGAAGTTGAAAAGAAAGAAAAAAAAGATGCAAATACTCCAATTGGCACACCTCATGTCTATCTGCCATCCGTGGTTCTTAAACAGGTTTGGTGTCGACCGCAGTCCTTAAAAGCTAAACAAAGTTTTCCTACCTATCTGACATGACTCTGTGAGAATAAAGTTTTCATTTCTTCATATCCTCAATCCTCCAAGTATCTAGTAAATTCCTCCAGGTCACTCCAAGTCCTGGATGTGATTCTCAAAGCTATTCAGGGAATCAGGTTCCCATTTCCAATTCAGAAAACGAATTTTTTATAAAAGAATTTTATAAAAGAATTAGAGGCTTAGAGACTTACACACCAATTAAGCATGTGACAGCCCAAGGATCACTATCTTTCCACTAACTCACTGTCAGAATCAAATGTATACAGACACCCAACATTTCTGGATTTCCTCCTGGAAATGATCCCAAGTACTTCTGAAAATAATACTCCTTCCATCTATCCACCAGCCATCGGGGTAGGTATGCTCCACCGGACAGCAAAGATCATAGAGCACAAAAAAAATTATACATATGACACAGAAAAGGCAAACTTAGATGAAAAACCAAAATACTTTTAAAGAAACTTCCAGTGGAGCAGTCTCTGAAGTCTGTCAAGAGTGGAAATGAAAGCCAGTAGTAAATGACAAGGAAGGTGATTGAAAGCAACTACTGTGACTGAAGTTACACAGACTGAACGGTAGAGAAAAACCCTTTTCTTTATAAGAAAAATAATGAAGTACCTGTAACTTACCTCCATTTGAAACTACACTGTCTAACAAAATAATATTTTCTGCAATTTCAGTTCTGTAAAGAACTAAACCTAAAACCATAATCTGAGAAGAACTGCAACGCCTTTTATTTGCAGTGAACTATGTACACAATGTTTCTGATGAACCAGGGAATAAAATCTCTCCAGTTGACAGTTCATTTATAAAAGTAAATATGGAGTTGGGTTTTTTCGGTCCTGTAATTACTGAAATCTAATGGTATGGCATGGAAAGTAAGCTAAGAAGTCTTATTTAAAAAAAATAGTGATATATTTATTTAATATTTTTCATAGCTGCTGAAATACTGATCTAGGGCACACATACCCATTTAGTGTCCCATAAAGATATGGCATGTGTCCATCAGAATTCTACCTCACTGTAAAAGCCAAAAAGCAATTAAGTCTTCAAAATACTGTACAATGAGCACCACATTTTGGCAAAGACTTCTGCATATTCCATTACAGAGGATAGACATTTAATCCATTACTCTTGTGGAAGGACTCTTCTCAATTCATGGAATATTCAATTTATCTTTTTTTCTATTACTCCTAGCCCATCTCCTCATATGGTTTATATCTGCCAATGTGTATTTTAGGTTTTACTATTGTATTATTATAAATACATTGCATATAAAGTCAAAATTTAGAGGAATTGTGTTTTTGTGAAATACTTTGTGTGTATATCTGGAAACAAATCATGGAGAAGGGTTTAGTGGTTTTGCTCCACATAGATTCCAAAGAACTACTGTCAAACATTTAAACTTGCATAAATTCAATCTGTATAGGATATATAAGACATGAATCCCAGAATTTTTTTCAGTAACATGTAGGATTGACCCATTATTCAGGTTGTGTGGTACTTCCCATGACAAAGCTGCCTTTAAAATTTCTTAAAACTATATGCAATTGCAGTTCTTTGGGCTACAATGTTCCATGTCAAGGGACTATAACAGATTCAAGCTTTTAAACTCGATTCTGTTTTACAAAAATTTAAGTCAAAATTACTGAACTTGAATTGAGAGCATTCTAAAACATTTTATATTGTTTTTCCTATGTTTGGTTGTCTTGAGATCTTTCCTTTCTGAGCTATAAAGCTTTACCTCCTCTCTGACACTGACTTGAAAGGAGGATGAAAATTCAGGGGGAGAATCGCTTCACATCAAACCTCTTGACACATACGAAAATCTGCTCAAGATATAATCCTTGGATTCTACCAACACAGGCAGGGGGAACAGACACTGAGCTAAAAGTCTAGAAACAGTAGGTTTAGTTGCAAGCTGTTCCAACAGACTGACCACCTGTGGGAACAAATCAGCAACAGAGATGAAATGTTATGCAACAGAACAGAAATTTATCTTCCTCATACATATGAATTATGGCACAGTATAGTCTTTGATTATACTTCTCCTGCTGTTGTTTCCAGATGATTCAACTTTATACAGTACAGTTTCACAGTGCAATACAGATAGTAACTGCAGTACAGTTATTCATAAGCTCTCTCCCATTGTACAACGTAAACAGTATTTAATTTGATAAAGAAATTTTAGAAAACCTGCTACTAATTTCCTATTTTGACATTTTTTAAATGTCAACACCAGAGCATCTGACTTCTTCACCAATATTAATAAATCTGCAGAAATCAACAATCTTTTCTGTTTTCAGAAGAGAAACCTGCACACACAAGAATCAAACTCAAAAGTATTCACCCATTTTGGATGCTTGACCTGAAACATCATGAAATAATTTCTCCTGGTTCAAAGTTCTTGATGAAGTTTCACTCTTTCCACAATTTTCAGCTGTTTAGGTCCCTAGTATTAAACCAGATTGAGGAATGTGTAACTCCTTCCGTACTGTAAGAATCAGTTTGTATGGACACAGCATCACACAAGTTTTGCAAAAAATCACAGGAATAGAATTCAGTTCTCCAAAGGGCCTTAATCATTATATCATGTTCCTATTATTCCCATAGTTCTCATACTCATTTGTAACACACTGCAGAACAAAGGAGTTGGAGTTTCTGCACTGCACAATCATGACATGCACCCAAGTCCTCCCTGTGCATGGTATTGGAGACTGTCCAGAAGAATTAGAAAGCAGCAGCATAGTGCAGATGCTCATAACATATATCCTTCAGATTGTGATGATTTTTTTTTCCTGTGCAGTTCTTCTGTTGTATAATACAGAACACTGCTTTAAAGAACAACTAGAAACACATGTTCAGCACAAGTAACACTATCAAATTATTGAGATGCTAAGCATAGAAAGTTTGTTTTAAAAAAGGCCAAAGAAAACCAAATTAGTAGCAGACATTTTGCTGAGCCCTACTTTCATTTTAGGGACACTGTGAAAAATTTTTAAAGTTCTTTTCCCTCTACAGAAAAGCAAATGCTGATTAGCATTAAGTGGTTGAAGGCAGGTTAAATATTTTGCAGTATTAATATATTAAACATATATATCTTAAATACTTCTTTATACAAAAGCAGTGTCAAGATAAAGGACATGCATTTCAAATGCAGTTTTAATTCTAACACTGAATTATGCATATGCCTTATAACGTAACTGATTTCCACTCCCCTCAATTTGGCCAAGACAAAGTAATACAAATAAAAAGGAAAAGCAACACATCAACAGCTGGAATGTTATATGTAGTTCTTCACATCTCCTGCATAACTGAGAATAGTTGATTTGCTTTGAATTTTAACTATGACTTTACTCAGAAATTTTTAACCTTATTTTTAATCCCACAAGCTAAATACTACTTTTTCATTTCCTTATTAAAATGGAATCCATTAAGGTTGTGAAGGTGTCCCTGAGTTGTGGATTTGCTATCTTTGCTGACAAGACAAGATACTCATTACTTTACTCATTCTAAAAATACAGTTTTGTGTAGATGTTCACAAAAAAGGTAAAAACAGGAAAAAATACACATTGTCTGTGCAATACCAGTAGCCATTACCAATGGGCTGGCATAAGACTACTCCTGGCATACAGTTGATTGCAAATGTTAACTGGCTGCACCAGAACCAGCCATACACAACCACGTGTGAGCCTCCAGCCACTGTTCAATGACTCACAGCCTGGCTACAAGGGCTAGAATGTGATTTAAAGAAAAAACATACTGACTTCTTTCAGAAACTTAAGTAGGAAATGAGGAAACAGCAACTAATGAAGGTAAGGAAGAAAAAAACCAAAAATTTATTGATCTAAAGAGTTAACCTAAGCAATATGAGCAACCTTTGAATTAAGAACAGCTTGTTTCCATTCTGATTTAGTGGTATAGGCATTCAACGTGGTAACTATCATTGCAACATCTGAGCAGACTCCTCAAGCACAGTAGCAAACATTATCAGCTCTCTCAAATAAGAATCTGCACTTCGACTCCCTCCAGCACCAAAGCTGTTTGCCTTAAGAATTGCAGAAAACGATCCAAGTAGGTTATGGAGACCAGAGACTTCCTGAATCAGATGTTACCAGAGTTGCAGAAATGAGTTCTACATCTTGTTCTCATTGCAAGCAGGTTTTGGTCCAGAAGATGATCTTTCTTTGATATCTGACTGTGCTGTTCAAAGCAAAATCCTTGGCATGCACCTGCCTTTTTAATGATTCAAGAGGCAAAACAAACACATCTGAGGTTATTCACAGGTCTCTACAGCACTGAACATACCAAATCCTCCGTTGTAACCGGTTCTCCTTTCTTGCCATTAGCCACCACCATTTTCCCCAGTCTCTCTTTCATATCTTGAAGGCTGGTGGTAAGCGCCAGGATGGCCATAATTTCACTTGCAACAGCAATATCAAACTGAGTCTGTAAAGTAGAAATGAGAATCAAGAATCAAATCACAGTCACCTTAAATACTCACAGGGGGTCATCCGGAATAAATTCAGGAAAGATAAATTTCACATTGGAATTCAAACAAGTTCTAAATTGTAACCTACAGCTTTTGAGATTACTCAGACTACAGTAACTTGTACATACAGACTGAGGAATGAGATGCTGGAAAGCAGTGTCATGGAAAGGGACCTCGGAGTCCCGATCGACAGCAAGTCAAATGGGAGTCAGCAGTGCCCTGGCAGCCAGGAGGGCCAACCGTGTCCGGGGGGGCATCAGGCAAAGCATCACCAGTCAGTCAAGGGTGGGGATTGTCCTGCTCTGCTCTGCACTGGTGTGGCCTCAGCTGGAATATTGTGTGCAGGTTTGGGCACCACAGTATAGCAAAGATATTAAGCTATCAGAGAGTGTCTGAAAGAGGGTAACAAAGATGGTGAAGGGCCTTGAGGGGAAGCTGTATGAGGAGAGGCTGAGGTCACTTGGTCTGTTCAGTCTGGAGAAGAGGAGACTGCGGGGAGACCTCATTGCAGTTACAACTTCCTTGTGAGGGGAAGAGGAGGGACAGGTACTGATCTCTTTTCTGTGGTGGCCAGTGACAGGATCCGAGGGAATGGCCTGAAATTGTGTCAGGGGAAGTTTAGGTTTTATAGTAGGAAGATATTTCACCCAGAGGGTGGTTGGGTACTGGAACAGGTTCCCCAGGGAAGTGGTCACAGCACCTAGCCTTCCAGAAATCAAGAAGCATTTGGATGATCCTTTCAGGGACATGGTGTGACTCTTGGGGTTGTCCTGTGCAGGGTCAATAGCTGGACTTCAATGGGTCCCTTTCAGCTCAGGATATTGTATGATTCTGTGAACTTCACACATCTTATATTCCCTCATTAATGTTCTCCATAACACTCCATTTACTTGAGGAGCAGTCTATCAGACTGCTTAGCCCCTTGCCTCACATTATCCTTAGAGAAGCTCCCTGAAGGACCAAGATTTTTTTCGTGTGGTAAAAAAAGAAAATCACCATATGTGTTTTGAGCTTTACAGGCATGAACAAAGCATTTTACAGGGTTTTTTTTGTTTTGTTTTAACTATTTTTTTCCCCTGTAACGATCTCCAAAAGCTTTTTATTCTGGTTTCAAAAACATTCTTGTTACATTTGATCATTTTTTTTCTACATAGACTCAAAATTTAGAGTCTACACTGCTAGGTCTTGTGCTTGACCTATGAAAATGTTAGATATATATCTCTGCCCCATTTTTTTTTTCTCAGTGAACAAATACAGAAGTTAAAAAATGCCAAGAACTATATGTGGCATCAGTTCTATTACTCTTGTAGATATATATTCATCCTGTGCAGCATTTCAGTACTTATATGATAAGCAATAGTATTTATTTTTCTTTAAGAACTTACAGTATACAATAGTAGTATTTGTGCTAATTTACTATTAGTCAAGCTCAGGTCGCATGCTGTCAGAATATAAACAGAGAAGAAAGGAAAAGTCACTAATGTATTGCATGACAGGAAAGCAATGTTGGCATGGATCAAGAACTGCAATTTCTTTAGCAATCTTTCAATCTCTAACAATTAAAGTCTATACAAAAATTTAGTCGTTGACATCCTACTGCTATCTATGTAAGAAAAAAGCCCCAGGACTGTTTCTGTTAGACCTCTACCAGATGCATCCTATACATGTGTCTGACTATTACCAGAGGAATCTGTTTAAATTGAGGGCTTTGCCTGTTTCTAAGAAGCACCTACATATAGAATTGTTCAACATATATCCACCACTCCTATCCATTTGCTTTAAGAGCTTCTGCCCTTTTTTAACCTATGTTCCCGCTTTTAGATTTTGTCTTGACAGCCCAGAGCATCCCTGTTCAGGCTGACCTATATGTACCTGTATGTTTAGTTAAAACTTCTGAAGATACCTGATCACTTTTCTGTATTGGGCACAGGCAGGGAGACATACATACCACAGAAAAGAAAAGTAAATTTCAGTTTGGGATTCAAATGAAATGCTGAAGTTACAAAGTAGATTTTCTGTATTCTCTGGAAGCAGTTCTATATGCAATGAACATTGTTGGCATTGTGATGATGGATACTACTATCTTTTCTGAAGTAGAGAATGTCCTCAGTAAGTCATTGTAGCATATGTAAGACAAGAAATAAGCCTGAAAAATCTATGCCCAACCTGCATGAACATAGTCTATCTTTATCAGGACCCCCCCTAAAAGTTTTTATAATCATTGATTCTATATAAACCTAAAAGGATGGGAAAAACAATCCCAAGTAGATGCTCAAAGAGTGACATAAAATTTAATGGAAAAAACAGGCACAAAACCCAGTGGTAGCAGGTGCTATTTTAACTCTAATAACCTTTAGACGCCTATGAAGTGCTGACAGAAGCCTTAGCTGTAAAGTCAGTTTTCTATTGATGAAAGGATCCACCCACATGGATTCAATTGCAGGATCAAGGGCATCAGTCATGTAATACTCTTTAGAAACCACAGCATCCCTGTTCATTAAAATTCAGACTTTTGTGCCTGCTGTGCGTTGCCATTTTACACAGGTGTAATTGATTTTAGGAGTGCTAGAACATCACCCCAAATATTTATAAAATGCATCTGTTAACTATGAAGTCCTGTTTTCTCTGGATCTCTGGCTAGGCTCTGAAATGAGTTTGCCTAACTGTTAACTATTTCTTGAGTCACTAAGTCCATGTTAAAATGTGAATGGATATGCATTAGTCCAACATATCAATATTGAAAGCATTAATTTTAGCCCAAACAGTACAGAAGTAACATTTGACAGCCATATGTAAACTAGAACTCATTAATAAAATAGCCCACGTTTAACTCAGCAGTACAATTATGGTGGTAAAATGCTGCACATCATCATCATCATGGCTGGGCTTTGCGAACGAAGATTTGGGAAGGGCTCTACCCACGTTTGTTGCAAGCGCGTTGGTGGTTGAAAAAGCCAATACGAGATAGGCATGTCCGGTTGCAAAAGGCACAACAGAAAGACTCCTTAGGTGGTAAGACTCCTTAGATAGTAAAAATGCTGCACAATAAGGCTGGCAAAACCTGGCTTAAAGCTTATAATCACATTGAGTCACTGAAACAAATCTAAATGTATGAAAAGGCCTCAGGTGTTGAAGGAACTCATACCAAGTATAATATTTTGTAGTCCAAGCCCATTATCAGACAAGAGTATTAGCTAATACTGAGTTTCCTGTAAGCTATAGACAGAAAAATTTCTATTCTATGTGTTCAAAATCAAAACAAGCAGGTATTTCTAGCGGAAGTTGTCCCTGCTTATGGCAAAGGGGTTGGAACTAGATGATCTTTAAGGTCCCTTCCAACCCCAACCACTCTAGGATTTTACGATTCCTCTTTGAAGTTGTTCTCTCCAATTTGACTGCTTTACCTGCTGAGATGAGCAAAAAAAATAGCACTATGTTTTGGTCTCTATTTAGGCACAAGGCCTAGAAGAGGTCTGAAATGATAAAGAAAAATTAAAGCTAGGATTTCCAAAATGCGTGAAAGCCTTATCTCTGCCACAAGAGCTATTCACATCAAAACAGCAAACCCTCATGAGTTTCATGATCCAGAATATTAGATTACAAGATCTTCATCGAATTAGGAGCAACTCAATACGGTCACAACGAGTTTGTTCCACCTGACACTGCTATCCCATACTTTACTGTTTCAGAAAAGGATTTATCTACATGACACCAGAATACTTCTTCAGATGGTGTTAGAAAAATCTGGCTTTCAATTTATCAGTAAGTTCTTCAATAAATTTCCAGAAGTTTTTAGACAGTAACATAGGTTAGCTTTTTACACCAACGAAAAGTATGCATATACTCATTTGCTGAACTATCCCTTAAAGCCCACATAGTAAAAGCAAGCACATGCTCAAGGTTCTTACAGTTTAGATTCTAAAGCTGAGATGCATGAGAGGGAAATGAAAACTCTGAATAAAAAGCTAATTTTAAAATTATTTTTAACATTCAATTTAAATGTAATTTAAATTACAAGTATCCTACATATAGTCTTAGAGAGACTTAAAAAAAGTAAGAAAAATCAATCAAATCAACCTTATGAGGGCATAAAGGCACCTCTTATAGTCATAGGACAATGTTAAGCCCCTAACATATGCAATTTTTTCAAGTGCTTTCAACACATTGAGGAATATGCATTGGTTTCTGTTTCTGAAACTTCAGACTCAGTTACTCTGACATAATCAGTTTCACTGCAAGATTACTACAGAACAGCAACAGATGTTAACATTACAATTCAAAGTATGCTGAAAGAATTGCAGAAACATCTCTCAGCCTCTAAAGCAAAGTGTTCAGAATGTGATCTAGTAACTGCCTTTACATACCTGACGGACAAATCCTTTCTCTGTACTTGCCTGTCCAATTGTTATTTTGCGCAGGAATCTGTCATTTGTATCCACCACTGAAATAAGGGAATAGGAAAAGCAGAACATGTTAACAAGGACTTGGGGACCTGGGTTTTTCAAGACATACCTCTTGCTATACATGTAAGATTCAACTACTCAAACTGTGTAACCATACAGCTTCATACTCAAACTGTGTAACCAGCCAGCCTCACTCCTACGTGTGGACACTGACTTGGTTTTCTCCCTTCTAGTTGACACTATTAGATGACAGGTTGAAACAACTCAAGTACAATTTATTTGAACAGTATTTGGAGGTAACAGGTTCTTAATATTCTAACATACAACAATATTTTACCTACATAAGATAAACCTCAGTCAATACAATGCACCAGACCTACTTCAAATCATGTGCCTCATCACTGACTTGTTAGGAATTGATTTTAAGACTGCATGTTGTAGGTTAGACTTGGTCTGTTTCTCTTTTAAAGGATGATTATGTTGTCAGATTGTTTCTTCTAGACAAGTCTCTTTCATACACATCACAGTAACTAACTCCACATTGAGTTGCACTGCATTCAAAGGAAGATTTTTTTTTTCAACTGTCAAGATAAACCATCTGCTATTTAATACAACTTCAATTTCAGACAATTGTATTTCTAACCTGGAAACACTTTTGGTGTTGCAAGGGCATGTCCAAATCATCTTGCGGAATTGCAAACTTCACTAACAATCATCGCAAGCCAAGTTCTCCAATTCTGCACTTACAACACTCAACTTCAAACCTGCCTTTGTAGTAGCCAAAAGGAAGGACTGAGAATAATCGAAGAGCTCTCATCTGCTGAGAACTGATCAGGATGCTTCCTAGGAAGAAACATTAGGAGGATGTCCTGCATAATATCATTGTCTCTGAAGTGGATTTGACAGATGGACCACTCAGTATCCTGGGCTGCATCAAAACCAGCATAGCCAGCAGGTTGAGGGATGTGATTCTCCCCCTTTACTGTGCCCTTGTGAGACCCTACCTGTAGCACTGAGTCCAGCTCTGGGCCCCCTACATTAGAAGGAGGTGGACCTGTTGGAGCGAGTCCAGAGGAGGGCCATGAAGATGACCAGAGGGATGGAGCACCTGTGTTATGCAGACATGCTGAGAGAGTCGACACTGTTCAGCCTGGAGAAGGCTCCAGGGAGACCTTGTAGCAATTTCCATTACTTAAAGGGGTCTACAAGAAAACTGGAGAGGGACTTTTTACAAGGGCATGTAGTGATAGGACAAGAAGGCATGTCAATCCCTACAGAACGCAAAAATAGAGTCTTTCTTTCTTACAGGCTCTGTAGTCCTAGAAATGTTTCAATTTGCGCCAACCCTAAAATAAAGGGGGAAGACACTTTTAAACAGTTCAGCCTGTAGCTTGGCATTCAAATCTACATCTGCTAAAAGACTGACTTGTGTTCATCTATAAGCAGAGAATCAAGGAACCTCGAGAGAAGTTCTCTGTACTCAAGGTCTGTGCAAATCAGCTCCTTCCACTGCTTTTAGAAATTAACAAATTTGTCTGTACAGAAAAGGATGACATAATCACCCAAGAACAAGAGGGACTTTGAATCTCAATCTTACTCAACCCCAATTCAGGGTTGCGAGTGAGCTGGAAGAAAAACAAGGTTTAAGGCACTTCCCCCCTTCCTGGACATTTCTCTTGGGGCAGTTGTAAATACCATACATGCCTTCTTTCCACTACATGGTATTTAGGCCTCTAATTTCTTCAGGAATTCCATTTAAGGGATGGTGCAACACAGATTCAGCTAACTCAGTTTGGTTTCTATTTATATACAGTCATACTCTAAAATACTACAATACTGGCAGAAATTACAGGACAGAGCCTGGGACATGGAAGCCGTAGCTTTGTACCAAGCTGTGATACCATATGCCACCATGAAGGCATATGGCAAGTTAATCTCTCAAGCACAAACTTTTCCCTTCTCCTCTTAGGAAGCTCAGTCTCACAAGCAGCCTTAAGCAGACTTAAGTGTCTTTCCTGCCTACCCAGGCACTGCTGAAGGCAGGAACTAGCCTTCCCACCAGCCTGGACAGCCAGTGGGCTGCTTTTTATCTGGTCCTTCCTAGTGAAATCATGTAACCTGAACATCCTTACCGTGAATTGTAACTGCCCCTGCAACTCCTTCTGGTCACTGGGATATACTTACTTTCTCACTGTGGTCATTCATTCTCCAAGAAGATTCCAATAACTGCACTAAGTAGTGATAAAATAAGAAACAACTTGTTTTGCCACAAAAGCAATTTTTCCTTCTCTAAATTTTCCCTCTTTCTTTACCCAAAGCAAATGTTTCACAAAAGTTTATTTTCAAACAAGTGTTAGGTTTAATGTATCCAACTCTTTATTCTCTAGAAATGTAAACAGAATCCAAATACCAGGGGAAGGGTAAGTAAGGGGAAGCTTTCGTGCTTTTCAGCATGTTGTACGTGTTCAAGTTAGTATAAGATGACAATGAACTTTAAGTTTGTGACATTTCTATGGAAACAGGTCCTGATTAAAATTAATTTTCAGAAAATCTGATAGCTTACTCTTCTTCCCCACAAATTCCCTGGTACGTAACAAGCTTCACAGACATATGGACTATGGAAACAGTCCTAAATAAAACATTTTCCAAGTTATCTAAAACATTCCTAAAGCCAGTATTTTTTTTTCTGAAATGTTTAAGGTATATACATCATATAAAGCTTTGTGGAATAGAAATTCCACTAACATTGTTTGAGATGAATTAAATAACTCACTTGAGGCTAACAGCTGTTGAGCAATTTTGCCTCCTCCCAAACCCATGCTGATAAAAACGAGTCATATTACATTAAATATTTATATTACTCCTTCACCCTAATACAGGTCTCTTCCAGACACACTGTGTGACTAATAAAAAACATCTTATGCCACATCCCCAGAATTATTTTGAGAAAAATATCCCAAGTTTGAGATGACATGCACACGAAGGGCACAGTAAAGCATGACCGAGACTCCTCCCTTCTCAACAGATTCACCTTTTTCTCTAAGCATCACAATACATTCCGTTTAACAGTAATTTTTGAACTAATAACTTCAGTGTTTGAGAACTAAGGAGGAAAATAAAATTCAGTGGTATTTAGCTCAGAACTTTATGCATCATTTACTTCCTTAAAAAAGAAAAAGACAGATACAGAAGTTGAGGTAAACACTGAAATTTGACCCAGCACTAAAACTGGAAAAAGCAGAGGGAGTTGCCTAAGGGTGGATATCAGTTTGTTTGGCAACTTTACCACATCTTTTAGCTCTTCTTCCTAATGAAGCAAACAACTCAAGACACTTCAAAAATAAGAAAAACACATAATCCCTTAAGCCTATTTAGTCTCTCGAGCTACCCAGGCTGTTGAGCTGGAGAGGAAGAGGGACCAAAATTAAGAAGAGTAATTACAAATAATCTAAAACCATAATAGATACAGTTATTAAAAGAATGGCTAGGATTTGTAAAATGCACAGAAAAGACACTTCCTTATGTTTGAAGATGTATTACCTAATGTGAGAGAGACCAGGGATGAATTTAAACTTTTAAAGAAACCTGTATTTCAGAATTTTAGCAAAGTCTCTTGAGTTACTGCAGATATTTGGCCAAGTTTAGAGCAATACACTACACTCACATTTGCTATGCACCTATGTTTCACACTTGCAAATTGGTTATTCTTACAGTCAGAGAGCAGAAACAACTCTGATTCAGGTAATATTAAGCAAAATAAGAAATAAGCTATCAAATCCAAGCTGAAGTGAGGCTTTCTGACTACATACCTCTTTGCCATGTTATGGTAGATGGGTCAATATCAAGGCGTGCAAATTTGCTGATCTCCTCTTCTGTTAAAGTCTCAGGATCAGTCTTGTTTATTCCCAGCTTCTACACACAAAACAAATTAAAGAAGTACAGTGAAATGCCTTATTTGCTTTAAATGGTATAGCTCCTCTGGCTTATCAACCCCACACATGTAAGTGAGGAGTTTCAATCTTAATAATCCTCTTTCAAAAAAATGTAATCCCATCCCATAAAGATTTTTTTTTTTACAATGGACTTTTTTTTAGATATAAGGAATCATTACACTAAGAATCATTCACAGTAAAATAAGTCAGTTATACTGGAAATTATGATGCATGTATTTGAATGTTATAAAGTCAAACTATTTTTTACTTAGTTGCAGGTAATATGAAGAGAGAAATCCATTTCAAATGCAGAGATAACTAGTATGTCATGAGTAACAGAAACACTTCCCCTCCTTCCCTAACCTGTTGCCTGTAACAGTGTAAATGAGGACAAAATGAAAACACTCCAAAATTCTGATAGAACAATCTGTGAGAGGGACTCTGCTTTAGAGTCAAGCAGGTATCATCCACATTTTAGTTTACTGATATTCAGTTGAGCAGCACAAAAGCTTACAATGTTATGAGAACTTTCTTTTCCTCCCTTCCCAAAACAGAAGCTGGTACTACCTCCATCCCCCTTTCCACACCCCAATACCACGCGTGCACATGGCAGCTGTCCATTGCCATCCAATGACTCTGAAACAACACCAGTCAGGAGTTATAAGCCAAAAACAAACATGAAATTGGACACAGAAGACTGAAGCTGTCCTTAAGGGTTATATTTAAGGGGTTCAAATTCTCTTTCTCCTAAGCTAGTGGACTGTTTTGCTCTCTAGGTATTTATCAGAATGGCATTCTCAAATCCAGATATGTTATTCATACATGAATTGCACAGGAAGCTCTTCCGGAGGCATTTAGGAAGCAATATGGGATGCAAAAATACACTATATGTACAAATGTACTTCTACCACTTGAACGAAGTACACTGTCAAATTGACATCAATAAAACCCCAGAAGTATATGCTATAATAAATTTTAAAACCAGAAAATATTGCAAAACCAAAGAACGTCAGCTTTCAAACGTGACTCTACCATAATAGGAAAAGTATTTTAAAACCTCTAACTTTAATATTTCATCAGAAAAGACACAGCATTTAAAAACATTACTGGTTTACTTCAGGAGAAAAGAATAGCAAAAATGTTAGTTATGAAAATAACATCAGGCCCAGATCCTATTACTCCAAAGATGTTGCTTTCAGAAAAAGTCTGGATTTGATAAATTCATGAGGGTTGATATAAACTCAGCCCCATACATCAAATAATTTTAAACAAGTTGTGTAAGAGAATCCATTTTATGAAGAGAGAATGTATATAATTTTATATATATACATATAATTATAATTGAGGAGAGACTGCATTAACAACTTACTCTCAGACGGGCAAGCTGAATAGCAGAAAATCCTCTCACGCCATTAACTACTGGAACCAGCCTATTATACAAAGACTAGAAAAAACACACAAGAAGTTAATGAAAGAAAAAGTTATAAAAAGCTAATTCTTTCCAAATTTATTCCACCTAATTTCAGTAAGAATTTTCCAACCACATAAGTTGTGGACTTCTGGTTAGCCATTTAAAAATCAATTCTGATAAGGTGGAAGGCTTCTGAAAAATCTCTATGTCTAAAATCCAATTACCAAAAATTACTAGGTTTCTGTGTTTTACCAAAAAAAAAAAAATTAAAAATTTTGAAATTGGGAACCTCTCAAAACTTGGCCAAGGCCCAAGTTATTCAAACTATAATCAACATTTGCAAACTGGCCAAAGTGCACGCTTGTGTTGTACCAAGTAAAGGGAATATGACAACCCTGCTCAGTTTTAACACTGCAGCCAGAAAGAAGAGGCTCCTTCCTTTCTTTCTTCCTTCCCTTTGAAGACTCAAGTTAGCATTTGTGTTAAGGTCACAATAGATTTAGCAGAGGGAAAGTTTATTTTTCCCCACAACTCCTTCTTCTTAAGGTACATCATATCCAACTACACATCAGAAGAGTAATTTGTAATTTTAAGTGGAGTTTACAAATTATTGAAAAGTATAATATTATATATAGGGAACACATCCTTAATAACAATATTTAGTACAGTCTGAAATAGTTGTAAATATTCTGGGCATAAGATCCTTATCTTAAAGACTACCTTATGATAGTCATTTGCCAGAAAAATGTATTCTGTAAGGAAAATTTCACAGCAGAACATAGAATGGCTTCAGCAACAGTTCCTGTTCATATGGTGAAAATATAAAAATATAAACAAGTTGTTTTGCTTTGAAATGCAGTTTATTGAAAAACCAAGAAGAAAAAATGTCATGTGGATATGAGAAAATAATTCTCACCTTATCAGACTGAGTGTTTTCATGTAAGATCCTAGCATCAATAGCAGCAGCCAGCAAATTATTTGCAGCAGTTATAGCATGAATGTCTCCAGTCAAATGAAGATTGAACTAGAAGGTGAAAGCAACAAGATCTTTCTATAAGAAAACATTTAATTTAATTTATGAATTTCAGACAAATTAGCAGCAGCAATCTGCTTGAGGTTGCAGACCTGATTAGTCACCTCTTTGTGTAGATTACATATTTCCAGGCTGAAAACACACTGAGCTATATGAAGGACTTGTTCCCACCTGAGTATGTGGTAAACTACCCTAAGCTTAGTCAAACAAAGCCACAAACATCTTCATTCTTTGCTAAATGATTAAAGAATGAGAAGTCAAGGGCTACAGTGTCACATAATTAATACTAAATCAGTTTATTGCTGGTAATTACTATTTGACCTGGACCAGAGGTGTAGATTACTGCTGAATCTCCCCCAGAGCACACCAAGCATGCTGGCTTTGGGGCTTTTGGTATGTCAGCTTTCTGCTAGCTGCAGAACAGCTTATAACCTCACAGGCACGACACTGTTTGACCAACAAAGCTTTATGGAAAACTCCAAAATCAGCATCTTAGATTAAATTAAAACTTGTGTTACATAGGTACTGTATTTCTATGAATCTGACAGAGGAAGTCAGAAAGTCAGTTTTAATGACACTTCAGAGCCTACTGTGGAGGAGTAGGGACAGCAACCAACGCAAGCCCTTGACTTCTCTTAGGGTGAAACTGTTACACATTTCCAAATAAGCACTGTGAATATCACAAAATCATTAAGGTTGGAAAAGACCTCCAAAATCATCAAGTCAGACCTTCAACTGAATACCATCATGCTCCTTAAACTGTATCACAAAATGCAAGTTGAGGCTGTCTCACCTCCTCCATGGGGATCACTTGAGCGTATCCACCACCAGCTGCTCCACCTGTACAGGAAAGCATATGGTCTCATCAGACTCCCACTGGTTTTGAAAAAAAACCCCTCATCTTTAAACAAACAAAGTGAAACATACAGTGTTGATGACATATTTTCAGTATTTTTATTTCTATCAAAAAAGACCAGTGATGTTCTCAAATAAACGGGATTTCCTTAATCTTGCTGGCTTTCTTTCAGCAGATAGTAAAAAGGGAATTCTAGATCTGAAATGAAAGCCTACATGTGATGGCTGGTGCAGGCTTTGGCTACATAAGGGCTACTCTCTGCTCTTGCCCAGATTTAGGGCACAGTCATGCACATGCAGCTCTTGGGTGGAAAGACATAGCAGTCACAAGCAAGAACTGCTTCTGAATGAAATCTTCACACCCTCACCTGAGTGCTCCTTCCCCCTGCCTCTCAGGGTACAGGCAAAGAAATCTGCTGTAGCCTATGCACACGTTGAGTGGAGGGATTAAAGCACTCACATGCACCAGTCTTAGCTGAGAAGCACCAAGCACCAGGAGCCTTCCAGCTGAAATCAAACTTTTTAACTTAAACTTCAGCAAAGCAAAGTAGAGCAGATGGGGAGTGCCTGTTAGGCACCAATTTCAGCTGAGAAATGGCAAAAAAAAAGGATTGCATTACTTCCTATCAGCATTGAAGACAGGCTTGAAATCTGGCTTGGTCTTACCTGGCCCTCAGGCCTCAGGGTTTCTAGGCAAAAAGGCAGCAGGCCACGATTAGAGGTGACAGCTCAGGAGAACAGAAAGAAGAAGTTCAGACCTAGCCACATATATGATGCTGACACAGCTGAACCATATGCACAACTGCTGATTTCGTTGTATTGACTGGAAATATCCAGTACTGACTCTTCCTCAAGGAATAATTAAACAATAACATTTATGAACATATTTAGAGAGTCTCCAAGTAGAGGGGTGGCTGGAAGGGTGTGTACTCACACAAAATTCCTCCTGGCTAATTCATTACGTTTGGGCTTTATCTGCATTATCAATACACGTTGAGTGCATGAACATAAATATGAACCTTGCACAGGAAGTTGTGTGCAAGACACCTTTAGCTATTAGTTACATACATATTAAAAAATCAAATATACTACCACTCGGGCAATCCACCGAAGTAAGTAATCAGGAAATTAAAAGAGAAGAAATAAAAGAAAAAACAAAAAAGCAGTATTTCCTTTTAATCTGAAAGAGGTCATAGGTTCTGCAAATGTTAGGTACCTTTAACTCCAAATGTAGGTCCTTGAGAAGGTTGTCTCAGACAAGCAAAGGAATTAATTTTAAGGTGTGCAGTAAGTGCCTGAACGAGACCAACTGTGACTGTGCTTTTCCCCTCTCCTAGGGGTGTAGGGGTTATTCTGGAAAAACAAGAAAAAAGATTAATCAAATTCTTTGCTGATGTCAGCCTGGCTAAGGATATTTGAACCTAAAGCTTTTGATTTCAATGAAGAATATTTGTACAGCAAATTTCAATAAGATTACTTTATCTTCACAAAAATACTGCCACAATGTTAGCCCCTAGCTCAAGCTGAAATGCTAATATACATGTGTCTTCTATTTAAGTAATTTACTATGATAGCAGAAAAAGAGAAGATTATTTTGGCAAAAGTTCTAAAAAGAATATATTGAATTTAGACATTTTTATTACAGCACAAAAATCTCACCACTTTCATTAACAAACCATCCATCACAATACTCTAAACATGTATTAATACTCTTCTGTAGTAATGCATGAGATCTTTTATTTCCACTGCTCAAACTTTGAATGAAATAATAGAATATTGTAAATTAAATAACCAACACTTTCGTTTGTAGAGCTCAACTATCCCTCTCCAGCTTCCATGTCATCATAACCCTCAACAATGACAGATCAATTGCCTTTCAAATAAAACAGGACACAAAATTCACTATATTCAACTTAACATGATTTATTTTACACTTGAGTTTCATGATAATTTTGCAGATTTCAGGGCGATAAGGGACAATGACAATCATAGTCCACACAAAAGCTCAAAAGCATCGTTGCTACAGCTCCCACATCTAGACCAAATTGAACAGAATTTTAGAAAGATATTCAATCTCAAATCAAAGACTCTAACCTCCACTGTATTCTTGTCCCCAGAGAACACTCGATTCCTGCCCCTTTAATGAAGGGACAATGACAGCTGATTTTGCAAGTAGAAAACTTATCAGCCTTCAATGAATGAGAGACATCTCAGTTTAAGTGATGTTCTTCCTGCTTCCAACATCATCACATTTGTTTATGATCCGTATTAAAATTTCTTGATTTGATCAACATAACTGGTCTACTCTGGCCTCAAATTGGGAGGCCTGGAGACACACCATCTATAACGCTGCTGTTTCCTTTGAGAACACACGCAGGATCACTCTCGAGGAAAAAAGACAACGCAGAAAGAATCGTGTCTTGCAGAATATACCACCTAAGGAGTCTTTCTGCTGTGTTTTTTGCAATCAGATATGTCTATCTCGTATTGGCCTCATTAGGCACCAGCGCGCTTGTAACAAACGTGGATAGAGCCTTCCTAAATCTTCGTTTGCCAAGCCCAGCCATGATGATGTTAAAATTGTGTAGGGGTGCTAGGGTTTTACTCCTCTTTCTGTTTTTCCTCGTTGAAGTATGAACACATCTCCAAAATGCATTCAGATGATTCATTTTAGGCACAGCATTTCTTTTTCTGACTGGCAAAAGACAAAAGCCCCACCCCAGTCCTTTTTGCACTCACATCATTTTCACAAATCCTACTGTATGGCAAAGTGTAACCATTTGTATCTTTGCTGCCTTCTCTACCTGCAGAGAAGTACTTTGGTGAAGCTGATGTTAAGAATTAATGTTCATTCCTAAGGAAATACAAGCATGCACACACATCGTAGTGAAAGGGGAACCCTTATCCTATGACCTCTTCAAAATTTGAGCTAAAACATCTAGATCTAATTAGAAACACTTCCTTTCCCAACCAGTAATTTTTCCAAGATATTGCTAGCCTCAGATCACAATTCAAATGGCATAAAAGTATTAGCATAATCATAAGATTCAGTTTAGTTCAGTAAGTTCACAGATTGGCAAAAGTCATTCTTTGTCCCACAAATGTAAACAGATGAGAAACATTAACTTTTCACAAATCTATCTTTTACAGCAACATCAGATCCAGGGTTTTGTTTTTTTTTTTTTTTTTTTAAAAAGAAACCTTTGTTAGGTATGTCTGGAAAAATTTGGGCAACAGGAGGCAAGCCAAATTAACAACTTTATACTGTTCTAGGAAAAGAATTTCCTATTTAGAAAAGTAGTGTTTTAACTAAAGTTCCAGCGAAATCAATGGAGTTTAGTACATCTATAAGAGAATCCCTGAACTAAGACTCTTCACCTTGAACTGCTCTTATATGACCATGTATTACATGGGTTACTTAATGTGGGCATTTGGTTTTAGTAATTTTTTTCCACATTTATAACATTGTGTTCACCAACCATCAAACTCTAAAACATTGTCAATAACTTAATATCCAGGCTATTTCAACATCCTAGAATGGCATTCCTTTGACTTAAAAAGGAATTCACAGAATTTTAGCAAAATACTCGTGTAGAGCCAACAAAAGGTGGGAGAATTGGAGCATATCTTTTATCCGCTCTCAAAAGTGGTCCCTGTCGTCTTTTATCTGTACTTGGACTTCTTATTTCCTTCTGATCTACTGCAGTAGCATAGAAGCCTACTTAATTTCTTTTACTTTCAAGTTTGCAGTTCCTAGAAGAATGGATACTTTTAATCTCTACATTGTCAGGACAGGGAGCCCTCAGGGTTTTACTGTTGCCACAACAGTAGCTTCCAGTTTTTCCATTGCTATTTTTGCCATCTCTTTTTTGTCCTAGAATTCTTACTTTTGTACAAACATGCGTCTTTCAGAGCACCACAGCCAGGTTAACTCACTTTTGCTACCAGTTTCACTCTTCTGACTACTGTTCTAACACTGGTTTCCCAAAACTCATTCAAATAATTCTTAGCATAGTTTCTCCTTACCCCTTGTTCTCCTACTATCTCATTAATTTTCGTCTATTGTCCCCATCTCATTTACTTGATCCTCTTATTCCAGATTAAAGCCAGATTTATGAGTAATCCTGAGGCATTACTGCACTCAAAGACTTAAGAAAGTAAAAACTATTTAGCTATTAATTATTTGAAAACAATAACAACAAAACAAAAAGGAAAAGTAACAAAAGCAAAACACCAAAAAGCAAACTATTCTACTATGAAAGAGTCACCTATAATTGTTTACTGGAAGTTACCAGTAAAGAACTTTACACAAACCCCAAAAACTCAGTGCACACAATGTCTATTTTACTAACAGAACAACTTGTACTTGCAATGCTTCCTATTGGTGGCTACCTCTATTTCTGAGTATCAGACACACGAAGCTCACATTCAAGAGAATTCAGAGACACCATCACTAAATTATTTACTCAGTTGCAGCTCAAAACATGGCAGGTGGCTGACCGGGCATTCACAGCAAGGCAGGGACTCTTTACAACTCTTATGAAACAAGTCAAATCAAAGATACAGCCTCCTATCCAGTAAAGGAAAGGATAGACAAATTAGAATAGACAAATACATAACCAAGAAGGCATGTTGGTAGTAGCATGAAGGATAGTATCTATTTGTCACAGAAGATAACACACAATCAAGTGCAACATTACTAAAACGCTCTTGTAACTTGACTGGCCTATTCTAAAATGACTAGGTAAAATGAGCCAGAAAGCCCTGTGAATTTTCTGTAAGACAGATCTTTTTCCAAAAACCAAAAAGAGAAACACACCATTGCTCATTGATTAAACTGACAGGAAGAGATCTTGCCTCCGCTGAATTTCCAGTGCACTGATATACTCTGCACCAGCTCTAAACCTCAGCTTTAAATATTAGTTAAAAGAAAAACAAAACAAAAGTCTGAAATTATAAGAAAATTTTATTCCAACAATTTCCCTTGGAATGCTTATTTAACACATCTTTCCTTTTGTACCTGGTCTACTTTGATCAGTTTTTATAAATACAATAATCAACTTAAGCTGTTTTGTGGACACTGAAATATTTTTGCTGGCTACACTACAGAACCTACACTCCTGTAGCTTAGGTCACTCACTCACATTGGTATAAAATTATAACGGCCAATGGCTAACTTTAGCTCAGTTGTGCAAGATTTCCAGGAGAAATCTTCTTTAAAATGCAGTAAATTTTAATGAATTTCAAGAGACTTTTACAGCCACTTGCATTATTCTTCAAATTTCTTAATGTTTTCAATCAAAACATAGAAACCCCACCATCATTTTCCTCCTTAAAACTTACTTTGCCACCTACCAAGCAGTCATCAGCTCCTTGGCAAAGTAAGTTTTCCATAACACTGAAAGCCTTCTCTCTTTATGTATACCAAAACAAAGATAAGAATATGCAGACTTTGTTTGTTTGTTATACATCACATTAGCTTACAGCAGAGCTGTTTCTGTGGGAAAGCTACATGAGGTCTCCCAAAGAGAAAATAAACAAACAGGGAGATTCTATAACTTCCTCACAAGGGCTATGCCAGCCGTTGTGACTTCAGCGAGAACTTTACTGGATATGTGACAATTCTCTTTAAATTTCCTACCTTAGACTTGTAGGTATCAGCAGCTTCAAAGATTTTAATAAGCCCATAATTCCTGTGATCCACATGGAAATCAGCCTATGGAGGCCATGGGCAATTGAGTTCCCACCTACATACATATCCCATCCAAGATTACAACTGTCAGAAATATAGTTCTGAGCACAGAAGTGTTGCAACTACTGTCACCTCAACGAGGTGACATTACGACACCACTGCAGTGGCATCCTCATGTGGAACTGGAACTTCCAAATATAAAAGTACAGATATCACTGTGAAGCTAAAATGACTGAACAAAGACAGGAACAGACTGAGGAATCCTCAACTACAAACTCTTAAAAGCCGCTAAAGCCTCATCCAAGGTAATCCCAATCAGGAGCTGTGCAATGACATGACGAATACCTGACAAACTGTCTCAACTATGACTTTGCTTTGGACTGTCAGACAATTCAGTGCATCAACAGAGGGCTATTTTCCCCTCTTATTCTTCCCTGTATTTTTCCTTTATTATATGTTTTCCCTTTTTCTTAGCTTTTAAGTGCATTGTGGCCCAAGAAACACAATGAACAGAAATACAATCCAATACATACCTCTCAGAAGTTAAACGCAATTCCAAATCTGAAAATTGTATCCCCAAAGTATTTACCATCATACTGCTTGTACAAGGCATTAAGTCAGTATTTATTTTCCTACCTTACTGAAAAGGTAGTTCATCACAGAACAATCTATTACTGCTAGGGAAAAAGTACTGATTTAAAATTTTTCAGCATTCAAAACCTAGCACACTTCTTGCTAAAAGCAGCATCATATTTCATAATTTTCCCACATTCTATTATTCATCATCTTGCATTTTTGAAGTGAATGAGTTTCCAGAATTATCTGGTAAAAGCCACACCACTAGAGCATTTAGAAACAAAATGTTGCAATATATAAACACATACACTCTAACAAATTTTAGCTGTAATTTCATATTGTGTTTGCAAATATGCTATCTACATTCTTGCATGCATGATTAAGTTACTCTGGGCACAAAACTTAGCTAGTAGGTCATGCACAAGCTTCATTCATTTGCATGCTCTCAGCTTGCAATAAGTGGAGGCAGTTTGAGTTAACATATCCAGCAACATACTATTTAGCACACTAAAAGCCTGTATATAGGCAGTTAACGCCCAAGAACCAATTACTACATGGTAACTCATGACTTTGTCCCTACAGTGTCTTAACACGAGCCCTATAACAAGCCAAACACAGAGACAATAAAAAAGCAAGAATGAAAAAAGTGAAAGAAATGCTCTCTATACAGAACAAAATGAAAGTTATGAAGAAATAAAGTCTTCATCCTATTTTCGTGTGACATGATCTGTTAATCAAACTGCAATTTTTCAGCATACAAGTTTGTATTGGATGAGGCACTTAAATATATTCATTTGCATTTAGAAAGAACAAAAAAGACTTTGAAGTTAGTGGCAACTTTTAAAAAAGCCATAAATACAGTCATCTTTACAGATAAAGAGGTACATTTTAGTTGCATTTCACTGTTCAGAACACCAAGTTTGGTCTCTAGCATATCAGGAATAAACTAGAAGAGCATTTGCAGCAAATATTTATAATTCCTAGACACTGTGAAACATTTAAACCCAAATGTGCAATTACAGGCTCAAATGTTGCTGGCTGCATCATGGATGGAGGTTGGAGATTTTGTAGTTTGTTGAATACACACACACACACTTTACGCTCCCTTCACATATGCAAAGTTCCCATCATACATCATAAATATTTCTGCCAGACCAAATAACCTGAAGTATAAGCATATATCTTAAATGTTTCCTCTGAACCACTGAAAATTTATTCTGAAGACCTATACTGCATCATTCTAAAAGAACTTCTAAATATCTTTGGTTATTGTGAACAAACACAATAATCCAAATGGCAGGTTTTGGTTGACCTTGCCTTGGCAGGTAGAGAACGAAGGTAACTGAGGATACTATTTCACTCCCTGATTTCCACACTTCAGTGATACTCGATTTTCATTGTACTGAACATTTCCTCATCAGATAGAGTCCCCTGCTTTTCTTAACACCATTGTTGTCTGCTACAGTTATTTCAGGAAATGAGAACAGCTGAGAGCATACAGACACACATTATATGTATATTTTATACGTAAAATATTTTGAAGTCAAGCTTTGAACTCTCTCAGAAGAATGTTCCGACTGTCATAGCTACCTTGCTACATAGCACTCCTCCTGCAGCAGATGTGGCTTTGTACTAACCCCACCAGATTCAATGACTTCAGAGACGTGAAAAATAGCAACATATTGCATCATCAGGTTGTGTAGGCACCAAACTCAGCCACTTGTTTGTGAAACACCATTCAGTATTTGTACATGTTATATCAACTTGAGAAGATACAGTTTTCTATTTGTTACCATCTGCTCATCTTGCTAGTCAAAACTGCATTTCTTCTACATGTATATAGGCTTTCTTCTGTGACAAAAATTGCTTGAGACACCTTCTTTGTAGAAGACAGGGAGACAAAGCAGTGTGAAGAAACGTAAACTCTTGTGTGTGCAATCTGACACAACTAAAATCCACTTGAATGGGGCATTGCAACGTGCTATCTTGCATCTCCAGACATTTTCAAATAACCTCTGCTTCTACGAGAGGTTTGTTGATAGAGAAGCCTGTTTCAGCCTGCAGCATGGTGCCCAGTTGATGCCACTGACAACACAAGCATGAAAATACATGGCAGCAACTTTCTTCAAACCCAGCCAAATGCTGAACACGTTTTTGTTTCTCCAATGCAGCAAAAAAACCCCAAACCAAAATAAAACTCTACCAAAAGAAACCAAGCTCAACCAGCATTTACTTCCTTCTCTTAACTGCTCCAGCATCCCCAAGAACATCTTTATATGCTGCACTTCTATCACACAGCTTTGAAGAAAGCTTCATAGCTTGCCTCAGCTTTGTAACATCAGGTCTCTCAGTCTACAATGCCTCCATCTCAGACAGTGCCAGAAATCCACTGTGTCTCCACAAGAAGACAGTAAAGTAAACAGTTTGTGAAACACTAGCCGAGGTGAGGAATCAGTAGATCAAGGCAGTTGAGAACAGCCTTCTCCTTCTGGATTAGCCTAAAACTGTATTTTAAACCTGAGTGGTTTTACTTAAAAGGAAGTAACCATATAGATTAACGCAGAATATAAACAACACGTTGCAATTTAAATATTAATGAAAACCTACATTTGTTCACAGGTAGAAGTTTCCACTTAGTAAACTAGGTGAATGAAAAAATTGTGTCACTGAACTCAAGAAAAACCCGAAGCTCTTCAGAAGAGAAGTGCATAATTCCTGCTGAGCTTAGTATTTGCTACAATCGTGGGAACAGCAAGCAGGATAAGCCTGCCTGGAGACATGTCTACATTTCAGAGAAAAAACATGGCTTTTTAAACTTTGTAATCTGTTCTTCAATATAAAAGTATTTATTGTTAATATCAACAGATTAGCATGTAGCTTCTGTTAACATTTGTTTATAAACAGACACAATACAAGCAGCCTTAAATATCCAAGTTAAACAATTAAAATTCTGATAAAACAGTAAGAAAAATTCCATGCACCAACAGATAACATTTCACAGAATCATAGAACAAACTACCTTTTATAAAATATACTTTACTTCAGTAATAACAGTTTGGAAGAAAAGCTGTGTTACTTCAAAAAAGTTCAAAATTGCTCACTTTCAGAACAGAGCAACACACAGATGAAAACATTCAGGATTCTTATTTGTGCAGTGTATAAAAAAAAGATGTAAGTTGCATGTTTATATTAATATGAGTGGAAAGAGTGGACACTAATGATGTTACAGTGAATTCTTACCCAGCAACTAGAACATATTTTCCATCTGGCTGATCCTTTAACCTTTCCAGCAGGGACAAACGTACTTTGGCTTTGGTTTGGCCATAGATCTCAATTTCATCTGTAAGCAATCCTATCTCCTTGGCAAGTACATCAACAGCTTTTGGACTCTGTGCTCGGGAAATCTCAATATCACTGGAAAGGAAAACAAATAGGAGACAGGAGATTTCTCTCAGCTTAGGTGGTCGACAACAGAGCACAAAACAACAGCAAATAATCCAACAATGGAGTTATTGTAACGAGTTTTTCAATCCTCTCTCACATTTTATTAACCAAACCTAAATATTAGCTAACACCTAATATAACATTGAAAATCACGTGCAGTGTTTTTTAATTGTTACAATTTCACAGAGTTCTGTCGTTTAATCAGACTCCAAATATTACATAATGCTTTCATATCAAGCTAGAGACGTGTCTGCTGGATGCTCAAGCATGTCCCACTGGAATGGATGTTTCTGGTTTTGTTTTTCTTTCTCTTCTCCTCCCTCGCAGCATATTTCAGCGCATACAATTTACTGAAAAGTGCATACATTCCTTGGCCAACAGTCACACAAACACATTAGCTATACCTGAGCTCCATGCAAGCTCAGCCTGGCTACTCCCCCATGAGGGCACCAGAGGAAACAAGGTATTTGAAGACCAACTCATGCTCTTCTAAAACACAGCTAAACTAAGCATGGCCACAAAGGAGGAGTCTAAAGTACAGGACATTCAGTGAGTTTATGAATATCTCCAGCAAGGACTGTGAGTGGTAGCTGAGGCAAGCACACATCATAGATTACCTGAGGGGAGGTGGTTGTAGGCTAGGGGACACTACTGTATTCGGAATTCCTGACCTAAACCACCAGGGGTCTTTGGATTTAATACTCCTTTATGGATTTTTCATTTGGGAGCTTGGTCTAGTTGCCCATTATGTCCACATAAGCATTTGGCAGCTGTAAGCTCCTGCAACAGTGAAGCCCAGGACCCAGTGCACAAGATGTGAGGAGTTGTCTCCTTTGGCAACTTAAAAAATACTTTCAGCCTAACCAGGCTAAATTCCTTCCTGTAGTTTCAGTTGATTACAGTATTTTTAAAGATAGAATCTGGCAATGGCATCAAAGCTAATGTCCTGAACTTTCCAACAGTCTGCAAGACCTTAAGTATCCACCAATGAACACAAAACTACTGGCAGATCTCAGCTCTGTGTGTGGACTTTGGCTGTTTTCTGCATCCACCAGCAAACGATCAGTCTGTGCCAATGTAATTGCTTGCAATTCTCAGAGGACATCCTAAACTGGGACCATTATTCAATTATAATTCTCAAGTAGCCCACTTCTGCACCCTGCAGCAGCTAAGTGAAATCCAGAAACCATCCATCCAAGCAATGACATAATCCAGTACTACAGGACAAGAAGTTACTCAATCACAGCACTAACCTGGAATCCACTTTCTTTCAAAGACATACTTAAGCTCATCCTCTTTCATAGAAGGATATACCTTTGACTTTCTTATGCATTACTTCAAGCACAACTAGCCATAAAAATGTAACATGAACAGAAGATGGAGTGGCTTTCAAACATCACATGGCAAAGAATATCTCAAGTTTTCATTGAGAACTTTCTATATAAAGTCCCAGAAAACTATTGGTAAGTTGATGACAGTGTGGTCCCTTAAAGATTTAAGCACAGAACATTTTCAGGGTGACTATTCTATTCATCAAGTAATTGATGCATTTGATAAGAGGAGAAGGATGTAGACTAAAATGACAAAGTTAATTTGCCTTTTTTAGCTCCTATTAAATATATTGGCCTCTTTACTAAAAGACAGAAACTATTATTTCAAATCTCAGGCCAGACTATCAGGACTCCTGCAGCAACCTCAGCCCTTCCTATTTCCCTCATTTCTTCCTCCTCTTCTCCTGGAAGAAACAACGAGGCTTTTCCCAATCTGGAGGTACCAGTACTGGCAAAAAGTGGAAGAAGTGAAACTAACCAAGTTGAACACTTATAAATAAATTAAAAGGTAAAGAATTTCTAGATAAATTAAAATTAGGTATATTTTTAGAAGTCAAGTAAAATTGACAGTGGATGCTAACAGTTATCCCTTGGTAAAACCACTGCTGTCATCATTTTTCCATTGAAATTCCCTCAAAAACCTTCAAGGTAACCAGACTTTTAACATCTTAGAACCCTTTAATGACAGGTTGAACACTGATACAAGCAATAAAATGATAAAAGGCATAATTTAACAACGAATTTACATTTATATGTTAACTACTCCTGGGGCTAAGTCTGGAAACATGGGGCCTTGCACTCCACACCAAATTTCACGAGTCTGTGGTGCACTGTTGGGAACTAGGCAAACTACCATCAGACTTTCATGATGCAGTCATCATCACTTTGTAAAAGAAGAAAGGAATTAAATCAGACTGCTCAAACTACCACGGTATTACTCTGCTCTCCATTGCTGGCAAAATCCTGGCAAGAATACTCTTGAACAGACTAATACCCGCTATAGCAGAAGAAATTCTACCTGAACGTGTGGTTTCAGAGCCAACAGGAGTACCACAGACATGGTATTTGTTCTCAGACAACTGCAAGAGAAGTGTAGGGAACAGAACAAAGGTCTCTATGTAACCTTTGTCGACATCACCAAGGCTTTCGATACTGTGAGCAGAAAAGGTCTGTGGCAGATTTTGGAACGTTTAGGTTGTCCCCCCAAGTTCCTTAAAATGATCATCTCACTCCGTGAGGATCAGCAAGCCAAGTCAGATATGGCAACACACTTTCTGAGCCCTTTTTAATTAAGAATGGTGTGAAACAAGGTTGCGTTCTTGCTCCTACCCTATTCACAATCTTTTTCAGCATGATGCCCCAAAGGGCCATGGCAGACCTCGATGATCAGGACGGTATCTACATTTGATACCGTACTGATGGAAGCCTATTCAACCTAAGGCGACTGAAGGCCCACACTAAGACCTTAAATCATCTTGTCTGGGAGCTGCTTTATGCTGATGACGCCGTCCTTGTTGCCCACACAGAAGCAGCTCTGCAGCATTTAACATCCTGCTTTGCAGACACTGCTGAGTTCTTTGGGCTGGAAGTCAGCCTAAAGAAGACAGAAGTTCTCCATCAACCTGCACCTCAGGAAGTCCCCCATCATCCCCACATCACCATTGGCCAATCAGAGCTCAAATCAGTCCAGCAGTTTAATTACCTAGGTAGCCTCATCTCCTCGGATGGTAAAATTGACGGGGAGATAGACAACAGGTTAGCAAAGGCATATAGTGCTTTTGGAAAACTCCACAAAAGAGTATGGTGTAATAAACACTTGAAGAAAAGTACCAAGATCAGTGTTTACAGAGCCATAGTGCTGTCTACTCTCTTGTATGGTTCCGAATCATGGTTCATCTACTGCCACCACCTGCGCCTCCTAGAACGCTTCCATCAACGCTGTCTCCATACAATCCTAAACATCCACTGGTCAGATTATGTGACCAATACATCTGTTCTAGAACAAGCAGCAGTCACAAGTATTGAGGCCATGTTGCTGAGAACACAGTTGCGATGGGCAGGGCACGTCTCAAGGATGAAGGACCACCGCCTCCCTAAGATCTTGCTTTATGGGGAACTTGCCACCAGCTGCCGCATGAGAGGAGCCCCGAAGAAAAGATACAAGGACTCCCTGAAACAACATCTCAGCCTTGACCATATTGATCACCATAACTGGTCTCTGGTCTCAAATTGGGAGACCTGGAGACACACCATCTATAACGCTGCTGATGCCTTTGAGAACGCACGCAGGATCACTCTCGAGGAGAACAGACAACCCAGAAAGAATCGTGTCTTGCAGAATTTACCACCTAAGGAGTCTTTCTGCTGTGCCTTTTGCAATCAGATATGTCTATCTCGTATTGGCCTCATAAGCCACCAGCGTGCCTGTAACAAATGTGGATAGAGCCTTCCTAAGTCTTCGTTTGCGAAGCCCAGCCATGACTACTGGGGCTATACAAAACGTATGAAATGCTTGTATCTCGTCTATTATTTCTGGTAAATGTTTTTCCTAAAACACAGGAAATTAAAAGATTTGGTTACAACTAGCATTTAGAAATCTAGATTTGTAGATAGGTCTTTTAGTCTGACAATATATTCTCTATATTAGAAATAATTAGAATTACTCAATAAGTTACATTATTCAGTATTGCTGGAAATGTGCAATAGTAGTTTCTTCTGCATGAATGAAAATTGTTAGGCAAGAAGTCCACCACTGACAATGGTAAGTGATAATATAAAAAATTCAGGAAAATGTAAAAGATGGGGGAAGTCTCTACATCTACTCACCTGTGTGTTGGGGTTTTTTTTACTGCATATTTGTAAGAAAATTTTCCATTCCACATGCAATAGATTTGGAAACACTTCAATTAACACCCAGATCTCACAGAAATCAAAAAGCAGATGTTCTTAGTTTTAGTGCTTAAGCAACTTTGCCTCATTTTCAATGAAAACTCCATCTGTTTCCACACAACGTGGCTTATTACTGCAAGATTACATTTTATTACAGGATACTTTCCATCTGAAGTGTTTCTTTACATTTAAAGAAAAAAAGACATAAAGCTATAGAGTTAACAGAAAAATGCAAGTCCTATTACTGGTTATATTATATTCCATTATATATTAATTATGTCATTATTTATGTACTAAACACACAATGTTGTAGAGAGGGTTGGGAATAATGTTTTTCCAGGGGGGTTTTTTACCATCATACTCATGACATCACATACTTTAATCTAACTTTTAACTGTATTATTTAAGGCTAGTTTTTTCTGGCTTTAGTTCTAGAAATGGAACATGCTGGCCCAGGAAAAGCACAAGCATTTCTGCCCCCTCTTGTGCCCCTGGATACAACAGAAAACTCATTCTTTCGGCATCTCTGTTTTAAACTACAACTGTGTCCATTGCCATTCAACTGCTGTAAGAAAACAGTGAAAAGTGAATCAAAATGCTTAGAGAAGAAAACATTTTGTTTCAACTTTCCCAAAATACAGCAGCAGGATTCAGAATTACAAAATCACTGAGTGGCTGAGGTTGGAAGGGACCTCTGGAGGTCATTTGCTCCAACCCCCCTGCTCATGTAGGGACATCTAGTTGCCTAGGACTGTGTCCAGGCGGTTTTTGAATATTTCCTATGATGGACTCTCTACAACCTCCCTGGACAATCTGTGTCAAAGTTTGGTCACCCTCACAGTGAAAAAGTGTTTCCTGATGTTCATGGAGCTTCCTGTGTTTCAGTTTGTGCCCATCGCCCCTGGTCCTGTCACCGGGCACCACTGAAAAGAGCCTGGCTTGGTCCTCTTTGTATTATTGTACATTGTATTTATACACACTGATAAGATCCTTCAGAGCCTCCTATCCTCCAGGCTAAGCAGTCCCAGCTCTCTCTGACTTTCTGAAGTGAGGTCCCTTCAGCGTCTGCATGGCCAAGAAGCAGGCATACAAATAAGCACAAAAAAAAATTTCAACACTCTCCTGCATGGCAGAATCTCACCTCAAGTACTCAGTTCCTCCCTCCATCAGCCAACATAACCAACAAGTAGCAAAGCACTTTAGCACAGTAAAGGGCTCAGGCTGCTCTAAATGTCAGAGATGTCAGCAGCTGTGCCAAGGCAGACCTGAAATCCCTGTGGCCTGACATGGGCCTTGGGAGGTGAATGACAGGAACTGATTGAAAAGATTCTGGCTATGAGAATAAATATGCTTCCTGGTTTTCACACCCACAGAGGAATTTAAAAGTCTAATGCTGAAAAAAGTACTTCTGCTGAGGGAAGGAAATAAATACAAACTCAAATGCCACTGAAATCACTGAGCCTTAACTAAACACCTTCCCTACATTAGGGTTTAGCCATTAGGAACTTCACATATTTTTTATTTCTGTTGATGTTGCAGAAAGCTTCAACTCCTTTCCTCAACAAAACCTTCCAGTTATAGGTCTTCCTTAAACAAAGCTCAACTCCAATGCACATCATAACAGTAAAAATTGATAGAAAACAGAAGGATATGGTCCCAATGAGGCATACGAGAGAATAGCACAACATGTAGTCCACATAACATTAAAAACTAATTAGGCATGGGCCATTTTTACATTTGTCACGTTTAACACTGTCACATGTAACACTTGCCCACTCTTTAAATATTTTATTAAATTTTAGTTCTTTAAAAGCACTTATTACCTGGGCACTGGGGAGAGGGGCTGCAGTTTCAAGCAGTGCAGGTTCCACTTCCTGTACTGATGGGACTGGATCCATCGCTCCATGGTTTTTACCATGTTCTGGTTTTAAACAAGGAAACAGCATACACCAGCTGCATCATAAATGTTGAACACTAATTTCAAACTATCTCAAGAGTATGTTGAAATAACTTCTACTGCAAAGGCTAACAAAAAACCCCAAACTTAAAAATTTTTCCATTTCATGGTTTTAGGACAAAATAAAACCCACTGTCATATTGTTTGACCACATTTCAAAACAAAACAAAACTCCATTAACACGTAAGTGGGCAGAAAAAAGTCTCTAATTAGGCACGTGGAGATTTTATTCCAGTAAGATGAAGAATTACTAGTCTTCTCTCACACCATAAAAATAATGGAAGATACTAATTGTTCATTGACTGACTTATGCTGCTTCCACATAAAGTAACAAACTTTTGAACCCTCTATACATGATGACACAAAAGTATGGACAGATATAATTAATCTTCACTGTCTTACCAGAATAAGTGACATTAGTCTATTGATACAAGTGGTTCTGCCAAGCTTTACTGTATTCACCAGAATTATAACATTTCATTTTTAATTTACCTTTCTCTAACTAAATGTAGCAGGCATTACATTAATCTGATTAAGAGTTGCTATTAAAATGGGAGGCAGGTAAGATGGTCAAAAGAGCAAAACAAAAGTTAAAATCTAAACTACAGAAGCAATTTCTAGAGCTTACAGAAAGAACAATAAATCTGCAACACAAAAGTTACACTAACCTGCATTCTCATTGCTATTGCAAGAGAACCAACAGCGTTTTCTGCAGTAGAGGTGTTTTGTTGACCATAGTTGCGCTTCTCTGTAAAATACAAGTATTGTACAAATAAATCACAAAGTTTTTGTGAGTGGGAGTATGTGTATTTTAAAGTTATGTCCAAATAAAAAATTTCTGAATGTTGACATGAAATTTAACAATATTACTGACAAAATTATAGGTGGCTTACTTAATACTTCAAATGACACCCCCAAAAGGATGGATATACTGTGAAAATCAGAGAGTAACTGTATGCTCTGAAACATATTACACAAACACATAAGAAAATACGCACAGCTGTGAGGATTTGAAAAGCTATACATATTCTTAAACAGAACACGTAAATGAACATGGTAAAGACTGTCTTCTCAACACACCTATTACAGCAAAACAGAACAATGAAATGATCACAAAATATCAATGGGATTTATAGTTTGGAAACAGAATATGCAAATTTTTTTGAGCAGCAAAAGTTATCTTCATCAATGTGACATTAAAAGTAGATATTCTAAAAAATTTATACAATTCAGAGTGGCTTCAACTTTAGAGGCAGTTATCATTGTTTCTAGTGGCAATATATCAAATAATAATCATACATTAGCTACCCTAACCAAACAAATTATTTTGTCATTTTGCTGTGATCCTTCTTCTGGCTTGTTCTTCTGTTATTGTTTATTGATTTTTATCTAGACACAATTTCTCCAAAATTCACATCCTAGTCTCTGTGGGCATATCAAGGCCCTAGCTGAATTCCAAAGGGCGTAGACATAACTGTAATAAAAAAATAACAACTGTACACTGACAGCTTTAACCTTTCCCCCACAGGGGAACTGAAGTGCAAACCCTGACCTGGTCAAGCTCTCCCTCTACTCACCCCATCCATACTAGTCATAAAACACTCATGTTGTCTTGCACAATTACCCCTCCCGACAAGGGTCCCAGTCGCAGTGAGGCACAGAGAACTCAGACTGGAGCCAGCGTGGCAGGCAGAGGTAGGCAGAGGAGCCAGCACCTCACCACCCCTACCCAGCTCCAGCTCACTCTGTCACATCCATCACTGAGAGAGCAAGAGACCATCTCTGCAGACACCCTTAGTCTCATTCTGTGTGTATCCTAATCCTTTCTCAAACTTTCTTGCCAATAGGCACCTATACATCAGTGACAAAGGCAACCAAGCAGAAAGTAACAGTCCTGATATTAAACTCTAATTAAGAAAATGTTGGAAAAATCCTTCTACTTACATTTACACTTGCTATTAAAAAAAACAAACAATGAAACAACAAAATCTTCTGGAGATGTTCAGCTTTAGATACAGACAGAAGAGTTTTACTGGAACAGTTTATCACAGTCATAAGCTGACTGTTGTTGCTTTGAGATCAGGCTGGGAGAGCTGCCAAACATAAGTGAAGTAGGGAAAATGGAGTTTAAAACCCCCTTTCAGACAGCTGTGCTTTACAGAGACATTTTGGTTTTTTATGTCATTTGGCTTAATATGACTTTTTTATCAGGGTAGAGCTAGCATGTGTGTAAATATATATCAGATTTAGACAATTCCCTTCAATAAACTACTTCTCCCAGATTGCCTATGCTACACAGTCACCCCACAAATGACTAACCAGGCTTTTACAGAGGTGAAGGCGAAGCTAGAGGTGAAAGTCATGCACACATGGAATTAGCAAGACAATCACAGGATTGCAACAGCTCTCTTAGGATAAATTTTCCAGATGGGAGCTGGAATAGCGCTCTGCTTTGGACTATGGTCAGATCAGCTACAGACATTATGATCCCTCCTCTGAATTGTACCCTGTTGTGCAGATGGATGAGAGCCGCTGTCATGTACTACCTGTGTGCTCATGCAGTTTAGAATAGAGAAGAGGTGGGGAAATGGTTGAATTTCCTACTAACATACTTAAAACCATGTAGGTTTCAGCTGTCAAGTGACCCCAAAGAAACTGGATATCAAATCCCAAATAATTCTGGTAGCCTTAAGTTTTGTTCAGAAACTTATTTTCATTTCTATACATTCATATTTAAAGTATATTCTTGCAAGACTCTACCAGCACTCACCTGATTCCAAGATCCTTAGTGCAACAGCAGCAGATGTTGCACCGTTAGAAAATTCTGAAATTTTTGCAATGTTGCTAGAACATCTTAAAACTGTGATAATTTAAAAATCTTTGCTTGGATTAAAAAAATACTTGAAAAATAATTTTGTCACTTTGCAGTGAGCACTTTTAGCTCTACTCTCCTGGCTTACATCATTATATTTCCCCAGTTCACCTATGCCCTTGCAAATTTTGAGTGCTTTTAAAATATGCAAATGTGTTAGACTACATATACACTCATTTAAGATAGAAATCCAGCCACCATCTACTAGCAGGAACAAAAGTTACTTCATGGCCATTAGTGCTTTCAGGCTTCATTTAGCTCCTGTGATAGCACAGATGTTAAGCTGGACATTTCTAAAGCAAGAAAAAAATCCAGAACAATTTCCAAGCACCTCTGCCAGATTCCATGAAAGTGAAGAGTCAGTTATAAGACTCAGTTGTTTCTCCAAGGTCATAACTGCTCCACAGTGGGCTTTTCACAAACATCTTACAATTAAACTAAGTGCATTCTTCCTGTCAGACACCTGTCTTTCAGGTACCTCTCTAGTAAGCTTTGAGACCAGCATTTTTTAAAGCTGCTAAAATGCATTTCTGCTATAATTTTGGAGTTTCTGCAGGGTTTTGACAACATCAAAAGCATAATCATAAAGACAGATAGACATTTGGTAGATAAGTTCTATTTAAATTATCATTATAAAAATCTCATGCTGCCTTTCAAAAAAAAAAAAAAAGGCAGTACTTAACACAGCCCACTGCTACAACTTGAAAAATGCAAAGAAATGTATATGCTTATGCCAAATCTTACATTTCATGCTTAAAAAAGGAATGTTGCTTTGATATGTAATGCAGTTTTTCTAATAGCACTCTTTCAGGGAAGGGAAACACTAATATTATCTAGAGTTCTATAGAGCAACTAAGGCATGAAGATATTTAAGTCTCAAGACATAGTATATATTGCAGAACTTTTAGGCCTCTGAAGGCTCAGACTACCTCTGCAATGGAAGGAGAGAACTGGGTTTCCAAAAGTGGGACTTGCACTGGACAACACATAGAGCTGGGAGAGTCCAGTCACTAGTGGTGCCCGCTCAGGTTGCAATAACTGGCTTATCCCCATCCTGCCAGAACAGACCTGCACCTCCGCCCCAAGTCTGACACACAAGAGGTTTCTGCTTAGAAGCATTAAATGAGGAGGGGAGATTCCCTTTCATTTATTTATTTATAGGTACTACCACTGTAACACCACTCCCTCTCTTCTCTGCCCCTTTATCTTTCTCCTCCATTCCCCCTTCATGTAAGCTGTGTTATACTAGGGAGGAGGGAGGTGAATTCAAACTCTATTTTGTAGGAATAATTACTGAAGGAGACATTCTGCCTCTTCTTAGCTATACATGATTTCTTTACTCCCTCCTGCACCATTCTCTGCAGACAACTTCACAGCACTTTAGAGCTGGTATTTTTTCCCTTCTTCTCTTTTTTGCATGTTCCAGGTGAGACCACAGAAGTCATAGGATAACACACTGTACAAAACAGCACTAAGTAATAGTTCATCTTATGACCCAAAAGTCTTCTCTCTGAAGTCTTTGAATCCATAGGATCATCACTTATTTAACAATCCTGGTATGAACAATCTGTTCCAACCTTTCTTACCCCACCTGACATCTTTTTCCTATTTATACATCAGAGAAACATGTATACATATCCTGTACACAAACACACACCTTTCAAGGCCCCCCCCAAAGATGCAGCTTTTAACCACATTGCATGATCACCAAGATACCACACACATTTCAAGGACTCACTGCACATCACTTGTAGGAACTGCTATCTTTAACACCTCTTACCTGACAGTGTGTCATGAGAACAACTGATAATGGTGGTTCCAGGCTTTATCCCGCTCACAGGAACATCATCGGGTTTCATACTGCCAAATACCACCACATCTGCGTGATGAAGCTAGGGACACCCCGAAACACCCGCCAGAGACAAAACAAGCATTTAATGTTAGAAATACATACTTTAATTTGCATCATAAAGATATTCAGACTTATACAGCAATAGCCTTTTGAGCAAAGCATTTACAGACAACAAGAACATAAGAAAAAAAAAGATGCGCACTGATGGCTTGATTCTTACCCTCCACGAAATTTAAGAACGATAGCATTTAAAATGAATTTAGGTAAACAAACTGTGAGATCAGGCGAGTGAGGTCAGAGTCAGCATCAATAATATTTAAAAGGGGATTACATCCTTTCAAATAAAAAGTTCTATCATTGTCCTAAAGACCAAGGTAACTTGGAGCAACTTAAGAAAAAGAAGGGTTGAATGACAGTAAATAGGCAATTATAAAGCATATAGTCAGATTATCAGACAGTAGAAAACCAGGTCAGTTGATGGGAATGCAAGAGGACCTGATCTGCAAACATCAATGTTTTTGCAGAATACCAATTAAAGCATCTTTTTTTCCTTCTCATTTCATGTTTACTAATCAGTGCCTGTGATTTACTTCAACCTGGCAGATGCTGGAGCAAAAATGGTTATGACAAAAATTCTTATAACCAAAGTTATAATGTAAAGTGCCTTTCTTTCCCCACCTCCTCTGAAGCAGGGTCCTGTACCAATTATAAGAATCACCATGAGGTAAGGGACAGTACCAGAGGCAGATGTATAAAGATCCACTAAAAAAGTCAAAGCACTGTGCTTGAATGTAAAAATTATTTCAGAGATACAGTGATTTTGGTAATATTTTGAACAAATGTAAATTAATTCCAAGTGTAACAAACTCAGTGAGCCTCACAAATTGATTTCTGACTGACAAGCGTTCCAGCTTCTTTTTTGGCCAAAAGCGCTCTGACGCAACCCTGCCCAGCACTCCTGCCAAGAAAGAACAGCTACAAATCCTGTCAGGATAGCAGGTTTTTGGCAAAGCTGAGCATCCAGGAGGCAAGAAGAGCATAACTGCTGCGGAAAAGGCAGAAAACAAAAAAAGCTCCATCTTCCCCTCAGATGATGCAAAGATGGTCTAACCCTCCTTAGAGATCCACATGTGGAAACAAAGCCAAAAGTGTGGGAGATTTACTGGCTTGACAAATGACTAATGCAATGAGCTGATTTAGACTTCAGTCACAAGTTTCACAACACTCCTGTGATTGCCTGCAAACAGTCATTCAGCCTTATCCAAATTGCTCTCACTCCCGAGCGTGGTGAGACTATCAGCTTACATGCCACTCCTAGAAGGCCACATAAGTCATAATGCTTGACCAGCAACAGGTCAAATGATACTGAGAAATCTGCAAGCAAATCTGGATAAAAAGATGCTGTGATGACTTGTGAACCAAGAATACTATGCTGTAGGCACACTTCTGCTCTGCAAAAGGAGGCAACCTCTGCTGCAACAGTCAACATCAACACAGAGAAAAACAGTGATTTTTCTCAGTTACATGACCACAGCATTTTTTTGGTAAGAAATCACATACTGAAAGTCAGGATGCCTTCCCATGCAAAGCCTCTGGGACAAGGACTAAGAGCTTTGCACACCACTTAGCATTGTGAATTGATGAACCAGTTGAGAGTTGTATGCAACAAATAATAATTTTGATGAATGCTCAGCCAACATACTTATGACAGAATTGATTCAATGTAACTATAATGCCAGAAAACAAGTGATGTGGCCAAATACTCATCTCTATGACTACTGACCCTAATGTTGAAAAATGTTCTTAACAGCTGAACACAATTATTTTTCTAACATTAAAACTGGTTTCGATAGCTAACATCACACATACCCATAGATTTACCAGAAAACCAGCTGAACTTTTTATCTCATGCCCTGCCCCATCTCCTCCATGAAAAAAGTTGTACCATATGGCAGCAAAACAGTTGTCCCGTGGGTTGAAAACACACTGATCTCTCAGAGTCTTCCCCAATGTGATTTCCTTTTCCTTATTTCACAAAGAAAATAATATTTTATGTGCAACTATTGAACAAGTTCCTGCAGAGTCGATAAAAGATATATCACAAATGCTTTACAGAAATTTTTTTCCCCTGTGAAAAGCATTTTTAAAAAGTATATCCAAAAACTGGGAGAGCAAGTCCACTGAAAGCAAAGTAGTTGTTTATAGACTTCTGGGTGTCCTTGGAAGAGCTTTATGTGATCTCCATCAAACTTTGGTCTCACTTGCAAGAAGTTGTGTCCATACCTCCTCTGCTGTTTTTTTTCTCCCTTGCCCTTCTCTTTTGACACCTGTTTAGTCACTAAAGCAAGAAGCAAGCCTTGGGATGCATGTGCAGAGTTATTTCCAACCAATCCCAGACATTAGAGATGGAAAAGTCCTATGAAATCATCACATTCAACCTCTCTAGCAAATGCACCACACAGTCCCTGGACAGAGGACACATCTGACAGGAACCAGATGATACAGGCAGCCATAGCCAGAAGGTCAAGGAGATACCCACGAGGGAGAACACATGGCTGACTGCCCCATACTCCCTGGACAGCAAGGCTGTGTCCCACCAGGTTGGCTAGAGGAAGGAATGACAAGCATCATGCCAAACCCTCCTTAATGTGCTAGGCAATAGGCTGAAGACAAAGTAAGCCAATAGTCCAGTAGTATCTTGCCTTCTCACCGGTAAATATTTTTTCAGTTGGGAAGAGTTGTGCCAACAAATAATCTGAAACCTTACCTCATAACAAAATATGATTCTCTCCACCAAGATTTAAGTAGAAGCAGATTAAGAAGCCCCACCCATTCACAAGACAGAACACCAAATGTTAAAACAATACAGACTTTCCAGCCAAGTATTTAATGATAATGGCACAAAGTAGTTGTCTATTACAGATAACTGAAACTCCATTTTACTGTGAAATCCACATAAAAATTTCATCTTCCCATCGTTTAAAAAAGCCATTTTTAAATACATGATCAAACAAAATAAAAATTAAAATTAATATTTGAAATGTAAAAGTCCTTGTTTCCTGGGTATGAAGCTAGGCCATATAAAATTTAAGAGATGGGATGAGGAGTAGGAACCTAATTAAAAGTCTTTTCACAACTCTCTTTAGCATAAAAATCTTTATTCACATCAGTTTACATATCAGGTTCCACTTCAATCACAGCAACTCTAATTACTTCCTGAAATCTTGAAAATTTTGTAAGTCAGTGACTAGTTTCTGGTACTTTTTCCACTAAGGAATGTTCTCCATACGTGGTTTCTTCCAGCTCTATCGCTACCTCAAGAAGGTCAGGGTTTGCAAATCATTAGCAACCCAGCAGAACAACTATGCATGATCCCTTCCCACCCAGCCAGACTCCTCAGAGATGAACCAGAGCACGTGGCCAATAGCTCCCTGCTACCATGTTCTTGCCCAGACACTGACCACCCCCCCTTCCCTACCACATTGGCCTGAATGCACTTGCTCTACACAGTGCACATGAAAATCAAGTCCACACCTCTGCTGTGGGCTCAAGCCTACTGCTTTAGCAACTGTTCCTCTAGCTTACAGACAGGGGGATAAATTTCAAAATTACAAGGAACAGAAGTGATGTGCATAAAATGTTGAAGTAGAAATACTTTGTCTACATCATCATCACTAGAAACCCTCATGCAGCTTCCCCCTCCTCTCCTCTTATGGGATCCATATACCTCGTCTCATGTTCTTTCATGCTTACAACATGAAGTGCATTTTTCTGCTCGTACCAAGACTCTTGCTCTTATCAAGACAGCAAAAGTAGGATAGTAAATGGCTAAGAGATGTCTAAAAGTTTGCAGCTTAAGCATTGGCTCTAAGGAAAAGCAGACTGCGGCCAAAAGAAGTTCTTTTTCAAGTTGGAAAGGAACTTTCCATTCAGCACTCCAGCTGAACCACTCTTATAGTCCTCAACCAGGTTTTTGCAAACAACTTTTCTATTCCTAATTATACCTAGATAGACCAATTTTCAGTTCTTTTACAATAAAATTGTAGGATAGCAGCTCTCTCAAAACAGGCACAATGTGGTTCACATAGGGGCTATGTTAAAGATGACATGCTGAAATAATGACTGATTGAATTTAGATGACTGAAACAAAATTCTGTTTTCTTACAAGTACTAAGTATTACCCATGTTTTGGCAAGGAAATAATCTGTATTTTTCAATATGAATCTACTTGATAACCTCCTTTCAAACTAGAAAGCATAATTCTACCATGATAAAGGATTAAGCACATCTGTTCCCATTCTTTATCTGTAATACTCAATCAACTTTTAGGTACTCCCATTTTAACATTACAAGGGAGATGTTCCTGAAAGTATGTCACTAGGTCATTCTTCAGGCACAACGCAGTGAATGTGCTTGCAAGAGTTACCTACACAAAGCTTAACAGAGCGATAACATCTTAACAATTTCCACCAAAATGCTTATGTCTATCTCTTACTTCATAATTTTCTTTTACACTGAACATATCAATGGCAAAAGAACAACGTTTCCTCATGGCAACTAATGCACAGATGTGCCAGAACCTTCTGAAATGTTTTCTTTCCTTTGTAATTTTATTTGAAAAGCCAGGAAGCTCAAGAGTGCTGAAGGACATGGCTCAGCTGTGCCGTGATGATTATTTTTAAGAAATGAAGTCAAGCAAATCTGAAATGGAACAAAAAGAGATATTAACCTGCTCACCTAAACAAAAGTGAGGAGGGAAAAGAACATTGAAAGTGGGTCCACTACTCATTCATCTCAAAGCAAGGAAATGAAAAGTACTGTTATTTATTTCATTCCCTTTTCCTGCCACAGGACAGAAAAGACTTGCCTTAAAGGAGCACACTAAGTCAGATGGTAGATGGCATTATGCTGTTTGCCAGGAGAGCTATCCCTACATTGTTAGACTTTTCTAAGGTAGACTAAAACATACCTTCCTCTTGATCATTGTCAAAATATTTTTGCAAAAGTGCATGAGTAACAGAAGTAATTACAAGTCCATAGCAACACAAAACCTTACCCAAAAAAACCAACAATCTTAGTGTTGTGTGACTCATTTAAATTGAAAGAATTTCTAAAGAAAGCACTTGTTGTTATGCTGTCCTTTTTAAAAAGAAGAACAAATCAGCAGTACTAGTCTAAGGTAATTTAGTACCCACTTAAGAAAGGCATTACATCATTAAGGTCAGAGTTACTGCTTCAGTGCAAACTGTCCTGGCCAATGGATTAATACAAATAATATACATCTACTCTTAAGATAAAATTTTCCTTTCCTATTGTACATTGTGAAACAAATGCATACCAGCAAAAAGTTTATACTCTTTGTATGTTCATCTCTCACTTCATAAGTGAAGTTATTATGCTACAACAGGTAATACTTCCAAACAACAGCACACAGACTGCTACTGTAGAGGCACTGTATTCAGAGAAAGGAGAAGTTAGTGTATTGTACAGGAAAAACAAAACATGAATTCATGAATTAATTCTTCCAAATCTTGGAAAAGCCTCAACATTGACTAACATATCTTCTTATTTGAAATTCAAATGAAAAAAAAACCTCATGAGAAGAAACCTTGTGAACCTTTTAAACTGTTTTTACTTAATTGGCATTTTAAACACGCAAAAGAATATCATATCATATATTCATATCACCAGCTATAATCATGTTATCTAAAAACATTGTACTTCAAATACAGGTTGCCACGAGACAGCAGTACCTTTTTGTTGAGTAGGAAACCTGTGCTCAGTTTCTGACTCTGCAGCTTCTGGGAATATGAAACAGTTTTCCCTGAACGCACTAGATTTTATCAAGGAGCTAGAGTTAACTATCAGAGTATATCCAGACAGTTCAGCAGTGCTCTGGGGATTACTGGTGACATGCTGCTCCAGGCTTACAGGCAAGGAAGAGGAAGGTAGGTTTCCCCTGACCTCTGCTGATTAGTCCCGCAGGTAAAGCACAGACTCCTTTACTGCCAACAGTTAAAATGAACCTGGGAAGACTGATGTGCAAAGCCTCAAACTTAGGCCTCTCATTCTGTTTTCCATCAGTGACCTGCTGCAAAAGGTAAGCTATGGGGAATGCCAAAAAGCAAAGCATGAGTATGGGAAAGTATGTGGATGGAAGGAAACAGATTTCTCTCCAGCTATAGACAGCACTGCACAAACAGCTATGGGCTCAATCCAGATTTTTTGCTGTGAACCAGTGGAAACACCTCTGGCCACCCTGTCACCCACACCATCCAGCCCAAAGCAGTCCTCTAGCACAACCCTAAGCAACAAGAAATAACTGAAGAATGAGACATGGCAAGGATCAAGTTCACACAGTGCTCTGTCTCCAACAGAGGCATATGTTTCCTAAGTGCTGTCAGTCACTTAAAGCTCAGAGCTGAGACAAGCCTGACAAAAATATCTGCAGCTGTGAAAACATGAGTTTGCCAGAGAACTTTCTATCACAGCTGCTCAAATTTATTTCCTCCTCCTGTACTTGCCTCCAAAGCCCAGAGGTGTGACACAATCATTTTGCCTTGGCTGCCACCCTGTGGTACAAGCTGTCAGATACTAGAGCTGTCCCGGGCACCTCACCCCTACAGCCACTGGCAAATCAGGCCCTGGACTAATGCGCACTCCCACAGCCAGTACCTGAACCCCGCTCCATATGCCCCAAGGACAATGCATTTGGGACTAAGGAACAAACTGAGAAGTTTGACAGGACGTCATACCAACTTCTAAGTTGCAGCTAAAAGCTCTGCAAAAAGCAATTTTAATTTAATTTAATTTAATGTAATTTTAATTTAATTTAATGTAAATTAAATCCTTCAGGTTAAGGTTCTTGAATTTCTTTGAATCCTTTTACATTTCTCTTCAAAGATAAAGACTAGGATCTTCCTTGTCCCAAAAGATGCAGTATTTGCAAACCTTTAAGACACAAATTGAATGACAGTAATTTCACACAGATGACAATATCACAATTTCTCTTGGAGAAAGTAAAAGGGAGAGCTAACATGTTTGTTTTTAAATTCATTCTCTAACAGCTCCTTGTGTAAAATAATGAAATTACAGCAGCTGCTATTACATGTAATATTCACAGAATCAAAGAATCAATTGGGTTGGAAAACATCTGAAATGATTGAGCCAAAGCTACGACTGAACACCACCATTTCAACTAGACCATGGCACTAAGTACCACGCCCAGTCTTTCTATAAACACCTCCCTGGACAGTCCATTCCAATGTCTAATCATACTTTCTGTGAAGAACTTCTTTCTAATGTCCAACCCCAGAGCAGCTTAAGAGTGCATCCTCTTGTCCTCTCACTAGTTGCCTGGGAGAAGAGGATGATTCCCCACCTGGCCACAGCCTCCTTTCAGGTAGTTATAGAGAGTGTTAAGGTCACCTCTGAGCCCTCTCTTCTCCAGACTAAACACTCCCAGCTACCTCAGCCATTCCTCATAAGACTTGTGCTCCAGATCCTTCACCAGCTTCATTGCCCTTCTCTGAACTCTGGTAGAGGGTAGAGGCCAGTATTTGCACCATTTCTGAGCAAGCAGGAAGGAGAAAAGATCCTAACCCACACTGGCTACCAGCAAGCCCCAGTGCCACCTGTGACTGCAACGAGTCTCCCTCTTGGCAACAGCAGTGAAGGGGAGCAGTGCCAGGGGAGCAGCTGACAGGGATGCCTGGATAGTGAGGATGCAGGATGACCCTGGGCAGACAGAAGAGCACTCACCTCATTCTGCAGCTGTGGGGCTTTCCACGGGCAGCTGACGATCACTGCTCCCTCCCTCTGCAGCATGCTCTGCAGGGCAGCACCCACTGCCCCACCAGCTCCCACCAGCAGCACCGTCTTTCCACCTGCACAACACAAGGCAAGTTGTTCAGCTGCCCTCAACTGCAAAGGCACAAGCACCAGGCTCCACCGGGCACAGAGCTGGAGCAGCTACATGGACCTCCGCTCTGACCAGGCTACTCACTGCCAAAGGCCTCCAGAAGTGCCAGCAAAGCGGCTCACGACAGGACAGAGCTGTGTGCCTGCACAACCACAGCAGCTGTGGCAAGTCTTTCGGAGCCCATGCAGTGACACAAACCACAGGTTTTAAGTTGTTTCCTGGTAACTTCCCAAATTCTAGTAAGCAAATACTACTCTTCTGGATTTCTGGTACTACTCTTCTGGTATTTTGCACAAATTCTTTCATTCTCAGTTGTTACTAAGTACATTTGACCTGGTGTTTACAGTTCTGTTACTGAAATCCTCATTTCAACACTTATGAATTTTTGAGAGAGAGATAACTTCTGACACAGTGCCTTAAACTAACAGCATCTTCACACATTGTAAACCCGCTTGTTTAAATCTGCCATTTCAGTGTCAGCATTTACGCAACAAAACCCAAACCAAAAGATTTGCTCAGCAGCAATTTACAGGCAGACCTGAGTTTCCTCAACTGTTCACACTAATCAAAACTGTCAAGTGAAATACCCAAGTAAGGTTTATATTTTTCATTTGGAAGACTCATATGTCTTGTGCAGCTTTAGTGAGATTAAATCTGCTGATGGCAGCTAATCCCTACCTAATATCTAAAACCTGTAGGACTGAGACCCATTTCTGCAAATGCTACATTCAGATCCCACTGAGGCTCCTCACTAGCAGGAGACAAATATATGTCAGATGGGAATCCAACACAAACCAGAAAACACAACAAGTCAGTTTATATTTGACTCCCAGTCAGGATTGAAACTGAGAAAAATAATTATGCTAAAATTAATTCATGTTTATGATAGAAGTACTCACCTAGATTTTCAAGAAGCTCCATCACCGCACACACTGTAGGAGGAACTAGACAATCATAGACATCACCACATACTAAGTGTCCTAGGTTTACACTGGATAATCTGCAGTGGAAAAACATGGCAATTTAACAAAAAAGAAGTTTGTGTAAAATAAATCCTCAGTAATGTTTGTAACATGGCTAACAGCTAATCCCATGAGCAAACACATCTCATAAAAGCAAATCCTTTGATAGTCATATACTGCAGCTAATTTGTATCATCCCACATCCCAGTTAGACAAACACTGAGCCTCAAGAGAGGCCAGGAAAGGGATCTCTGAGTTTGAATAAGTAACACGATCCCACGATACACAGGCAGTTCTTTACTTGTCCTGTTGGACCCATGGCACATCGGGCCAAAACACCTCAGTGGCTGCAGTGAGACCAGACCAGTGCTGCCAAAGCCAAGCCAAGCCAGAAGCAGCACATCCTTCTGGCTCAGGCTGGCTCAATGGGGGCAACTCAAATGTTTCCACACTGCACTGCATTCTCTCTCAAACACAAGGATGCTCCAAATTTTCCATTTTCTGCATCTCCAGTACTCCAGACAATGGAAAGCTAACTACTTTGAAAGATTTTCAGATTTTTTTCGTGACATTAAAAAAAAAAGTGGAAGGGATAAAAAAATCCGGTAATAGTCTGCAGTTGAGAGCAGGAAGGCTGCAAGAGCAGCAAGATGGCAACTCAAGACACCTAAATTACACCAGTGGTCTCTTCAGAGAGAGACACTGATTAGAAAGTCGTGTTAATGGGTCCAAACTATAGCCTACTCTCTCACCATGAGAGAGTGCTGTAAGGCAGTAAAAACCTTCTCTGCAATTTTTCCATCAATCCTTCTTGTGAAAATTCAGCACTTTGTGACTACCATTTTCATGACTGAAGTACTGAAATACCTTAAGTATCATCAGTAAATCACAACTTCAGTTTTTATTTTTTGAAAAGACCATGTCCTGAATATACATTATGTAAAGATTAAAAAGATAATGATCAAATTACTTCAGCAGAAGACTTCTCATTGATTCAGAGGTATCTTTTATCACTGCTCAATAGCACAGCTAGACACATTAACTGAGGAATCCATTAACGATAAGCACAGGGGAAAATTGATTTTACAGAGCCATCAGCCTCATGTCTGCTAATATTATTTCTCTGTGCTTCACTTACCCATCCACATCCTTCTCTGGTTTCACAGCATTTAATACCTTACTGCTATATAAGCTTTCTGGGAGGTCAAGGGCCAGGCCCTGCACGTTAGGATCCTCATTAAGTCTCAAGATTTCACTGACAATCTAGGAAGTTAATAAAAAGCATTAAAAATCAGAACAACAGTTAAAAGAAGAACTTAGTTAGAAGGGGGTAAAACCTGTATATTTTTTAAAATTACTTCAGGGCCACCTTTGCTTCCCTTGCATATTACTGCAACTTCTAAATGAAAAAGGCAAAAACCTGCTTTCCTCGGTTTATATTCCCATGGTTTACCAAATTACCTGACTCTATTCTAAACATCTTGCAAAATAAACACAAATTATGTGACAATATGCTGCCAAAAGCATTTGCTCTTTCATCATTCCAAATCTCAGCAAAAGCTCATCACTGTAATGGCTTCAGCAGATGTTTTAGAAACAAGACACCTTCGCTAAAACGTAGTTTGAAATTGGACTAGATCACGTCCCAGCACAGAATACGGATAAAAAGTTATAATACTAAAAAAAAACAAATCTACGAGAGAAAATTAATTATATTAAATCAGCATATATCATTACCAATTTTCCTTCTCAAAACACCCTTATCCTATGAGCTGACAATTGTCTGGTTTGTTATGTTGAAAAGGTAAAAGTTTAAGAATTTCAAGTACTGAACCAGATGCAAGTTCAAGTGGTTTATAATTGGTCACATTTGACATCTGAGACTGTACTAGTTTTTCTTGATTACTTACTCTCTAAACTGTGTTATTCAGCAGGTAAAACACGTTTATCAACAACAAAGTGTATGTTCTTCATTTCAAAAGCCCACTCTTTTTAAATGGATATCTCACTATCCATAACCTACAAAACTTCACAGTAAATTACTCACAATGTACCTGGAAGCAGTTCTTGATCTTACACTGCAAGCCAGTAACATTTTAAAAACAATACACAAAACTCCCAAGCTGCAGGATTATCAAACTCGCGAAGTACAAGGAATCCAGGTGGAAACAGTGGCATCTTTTACTGTACATTCCTTCACTGGTTTTACTTTCAGATGGTTTGCTATATTTAAAACATACTTGATATTAAGTGCTGTGCCTTCAACAAGGTAAAGAATTCAAGCCCTCTAGTGATTTGGGGTGGATGTTTGTTTTTAAACACATACTTTAAATATTAAAAGACCAATAAACAGACAAATTCAGCTCCTTTCCCTCCCTGCCCCCCCCCGAAAAAAAAAAAAAAAAGTCCATTAATCTTTAATTTCCCTGAATAACTTGGGTAAGAACTAGGTACAGTCACAAGAGCAACTGCAGGAGATGGGATACGTGTGCTGGTATGAGGGGATGTTGCAGTTAAACACCAGACACAAAACCAAAATGTTACTCTATTGATTCTGCCCCAGCTTGCCAGGGGACAGCAGACGAACCCATTAATTTTTTTCCCCACTCTTGTCAGTAAGGGAGATAATACTTGTTATTTGAACTAAGGCAATTCCAAACCTAATTTGAGTTAACAGAGGTCAGTCAAAGTAATAATTAGTGTCAGCAATAAATAGAAGTTTATGACAAAAGCGAAAAAGGGAGAGTCCTTCAGGTATTTCAATTACCTCATCCTTGCTGCTGCCTTCAGGGAGACAGATGTGAATAATGCGTAGACCAACCTGTCGAAAGAAAATACTTAAAATTACCAAAGGCAAGTAGCTCACGATTAATAACAGATGTATCAGCTATAGCTTACCTCTTTGGCAAAGTTCTTGTTTGCTTCTTGAATCAAACGATCATTATGTGCCTTCGGGAACAAAACAGAAACCAAGTTTTAAAATACTACATTTAAAAATGTGAGTACACTAATGCTCATGGGTCATCTACTGCCACCACATACGACTCTTAGAATGCTTCCATCAACGCTGTCTCCGTACAATCCTAAACATCCACTGGTCAGATTATGTGACCAATACATCTGTTCTAGAACAAGCAGCAGTCACAAGTATTGAGGCCATGTTACTGAGAACACAGCTGTGATGGGCAGGACACGTCTCAAGGATGAAGGACCACCGCCTCCCTAAGATCCTGCTCTATGTGGTGAACTTGCCACCGGCTGCCGCAAGAGAGGAGCCCCGAAGAGAAGATACAAGGACTCCCCGAAACAACGTCTCAGTCTTGGCCATATTGATCACCATAACTGGTCTACTCTGGCCTCCAATCGGGAGGTCTGGAGACGCACTATCTATAACGCTGCTGCTTCCTTCGAGAACGCACGCAGGATCACTCTCGAGGACAAAAGACAACGCAGAAAGAATCGTGCCTTGCAGAATATACCACCTAAGGAGTCTTTCTGCTGTGCCTTTTGCAACCAGACTTGTCTATCTCATATTGGCCTTTTTAGCCACCAGCGTGCTTGTAGCAAATGTGGGTAGAGCCCTTCCCAAATCTCCGTTCGCGAAGCCTAGCCATGAATGAATGAAAAACACTAATGCACATCTATGCAAAAAACATAGTGATGATGTTTGTGTCTACTGGTATTGGAACAAATAAAAAGCCTAGTAATTCTAAGAAAGAAGCAGAAGGCCATCCCTATTATTCCCAAATAGTTCAAGACTGATGACAGTGAACAAAAGAGCATTTAAAAGGACAGGTTTCACAGTAAGGGGTAGCTCCTGTGTGGGAAGGAGGGCTTGCCCTCCATCCCCTTGCTCCCTCCCTGAACCGCCAGCATTCCTGGTACCGCACTACCAGCATCCCACTCCCCAAATCTGGCAGCTGGAGGTGAGTGGCAGCACAGAGGCTGCTGCAGTGGGAACACTGTGCAGAGCTCACATCGGGAAAAGAGTCAGGTCAAAGGACAGCTCAGCAGCTGCTCCCCTATGCCAGTAAATGTGGAACTGTACCCCCATACTGACTGCTCAAGAGTTTAACCGGGATGGAGCAACTGGTGATACCACACTGTCGCCTGTAATGTCCCTAATGCTGCAGTACTGGCAGGTGAACAGTTATCTTGTGTGCGTGCAGAAACCTCCCCTGAACTGGCTCCTATCAAACCCATGGAACAGCACAGGTGAGGCCAGAGCTCAGGACATGGGCTGGCATAGCATAAGAGCAGGACAGGGGAATGCACGGGATCACTGAGCTTTGCAGGGCAACAGCTCCACTGTTAAACAGGATCCTGATGCTACATTGTAGTTTTCAGCTTCAACAAAATTAAGCAGCACCCAACAATCTGTTGCAAAGATCCAGCACAGGTTCAACATGAATAATAAGCAATGCAGGTATCAATCTCAGTATCAATTCAGGTTCAGTTGACTCAAGAGGAAAAGAACAGTCCTAAAAGCATTCCACAGCAGGCTCAGTCTACAAATCCTCATTCTCAGTACTTCTGAAGAGGTGGTGCCATGTGAGCCAATTGCTGTTACCCAGGAGTGACTGGCAAAGGAGATAATTTCACTGCCCTCCCTCTGCTCCTCTAGGTGCAATGAGGCATATGGGGAGCAGCATGAATCCTAAGGCTTTGCCCATATTACCCGGTAGAGCAGTGCACACAAGAGCATTTGTAGACTAAAGCAAGTCTTCTTTGTACCACCAAATACACATTTAGAATGAGCTCTGCTTCAGTCCTTACAACCAGACTAGGGCTAGGGTGATTGACAGCTGGAGAACATAGCTTGATTGAATTTCACCCAGAAGGATCTGGCCACATGTTCCTACAGCCACCTCATGATGCAAACCAAGCAGGATATACAGGGACAAGAGGGACATCCCTTTCCTTGTGTCAGCATAAAACACACATGTGGCCATGCAGAAAACCAGACTTAGGGGACGAACATGGTTGAAAGGAAGCCTCTTTAGACTTCTCAGGCTGAGGTCGCAGCTGGATTAGGCTGTGATCTCAGGCTGGATCACAGACCCAGTCCAGCTCATGGTACAACTGAATGAAGACAAAACAGGAGTGAGAAAAAATAGGTCACTGAAAAGATGGGTCACCACTTTTCTAGAAGTCCTTAAGCTTATAGCCTTGGAAGGCTTTGTGAAAACATTAAATGCAATTACCAGGGAGGGTAAGAGATGGGAGAGCCTGTTCAGCCAGCTTCACTAGAAGACCTACTGAAATAAAGCTGTTGTTTCATTACTTAGAATCACTATGAGTACTTAGAAAACACTTACAGTTGGGTTTTAAAATTAAAACCTACTGGATCAGAGTTTCAGTGTGTGCCCACTCAAAACCAATGCCACTATCCTAGGAAACAGTACAAAGACATTTTGCCTGCATGGTTCTGGGTCCCACTCTGAATGACAAACATCCCTAGTTTCTTGGCTTTGAAACCTTAAGAAATCTAAAGAGCAACATCTTTCAGCTTTGCAGGGATAGCAATCCTCATCTCTGATTTTGATTGCCTGTCTGAAAGATCACCTGCCTGAGTGAGATGGAAAGAAAAGCTCTTCACAGCATTAGTAAAATAACAACTTTCAATTACTGCAAGATTCCTTCACATCACAAAGTGCTGCTGCTTCTACAGGATATTGACACTTCACACAAGACACTTACTTCACTCGGGCCCTTTTCAGAATGGTTTTCCTCTCCTTAGAACAGCAGTAACACAGTGATAAGCTGCAGCTGCCCAAAGGTAACAAGGCTGACAGGAAGCAATAGGGTCTTTCATTAACCCTGGCAATGTTATTTCAGGGGTGGGAGCTGAAGGGACACCCACTGTTTTCAGGCACATAAACGCTTTGTTCAGGATTGCAAAAAAAGCTTCCAGCTAAATAAAGGTTGAGGACAATCACTTTAACACAACTATGCCAATCAACTTAGATGAGCTGTGAGAAAAAATTATCCATACTCACAGTGCGGAAGACTACATTAGCAAAAGGAGGAAGGGATAAAATCGTCCCTTTCTTTTGCAAAGCTTTCCCACAGTCTGAAGTTTGCCGTGGCTGTTTCAGAACTGAAGAAAAGGGCAATCTACAGCCTAGTGGAATTACCTCCTTCTATTGCTTTGCTTTATAATAAAGCAGATAATATTTTTTATAAAAAAAGAATAAAAGTTACTTTCTGCAGCATGTGCTTCTGAAGTCTCACACAATGAGT